ACATAGAAGGCAATATGCTTACCTTGGCTCATCTGGAGAATGGCCCGTGAGGAATAACCATGATTCGAAGTGAGGAAAGGAATAAAAAAAAAAATGACATCATCCAGAACGGAGAAAAGTAGTCTTGGTGGATTTCTGCATAACTTAAAAGAATCAATTGAATCTTTAAGATCCTGCCTTTTATACAATTCAAAGTAATTCCAAGATAAAAATTTTAGTGAGATAGACTTTTAACTCTATAAGGAAGTTTATATTATTTAATAGTTTAATTTTTTACATTAAAGAGATAATGCCTTGTCCCACCTCTTTCCATCCAGTCCTCCTTCATGGAGGCAAGCACCTTGTACCCTTAGCTCTTTCTTTACATCATTATATTTCTAAAGATATACTGTTACAATTTATTACTTCTAGCCCTTACATATTGAATTATATTATGATCTATTGACTTTTTTATAATAGGTAAGGACTTGGCTCTCTTATACCCTTCCCTTGAGCATTTATGTAATATAAAACAATGTAAATATTGTTCACTTAGTGTACTATGAATACATTTCCTTTCTTGTATACTTTGTTTCTCCTTTAATGTAGTAGCTTTGCTTTTTCACTCGCATAATGTCCATACAGAAATTTTTGAATTCTTTTGGAATGTTCTTTCATGTAATTCATTCTTTTGAGTCTTCTCCCTGCCCCTGCCCCTTCCTCAGTTCCAACTTCCCATCATGAAACTCCTTCCTGGAGCTGTTTTTACCTTTGCATCAATCTAGACTAGTTTTCCAGGGCTGTTGCAAAGTCATAGAAGACTTTTCCTTCCCCTCTTCTTGTGGGATCCAGTATCCATCTCTGGAACCCCTATCTTTTAGCTTAAAAATGCTTCATTTGTTTGAGCATATCCTGCAGTAGCTTCCAGAGAACAGGTGCATAGGGACAAACTTTTTGAATCATTTGATATCTGAAAATGTCTTTATTCTCCCCTTCATGATTGATAGATGGGCTTCGAATTCTAAGTTCAAAATTTTCCCTTTGAAAGCATTTCATCGTCTTCCACTCTGTGTCTTCCACTCTGTGCGAGTGTTAAATAGGCTGATACCATTCTGATTATTGTCCCTTTGTATATGATCTGCATGTTTAATACACTATATTTACCTAAAAACCATTTTTAAATTCTTAATATTGAGGTTATCTTTACTAGCTTTGTTTTTAGATTTACTGGATTTGAACAAATTTTAAATATTTATTTTTAAATTAGTATTGTTTTTTAAATCCTATGTAAAAAACTTCCTTTCAGATAGGCAACTCCTGCCACAGAGGTTGACCCCTCGCCTATAGTATATACACAGTAAATGTTCGGTGAACTAATGACAAGCCATTATAGCTTATAGCATTTTCCATTTCTCAACAATTCAAATTATTATTGTACCATGCTTTGTGTACTGCTTAGCTCTTCGGCAAGAAAACTTTGGATGTGGTCAAGAAAAGTAAGGTAAATGCTCTTGATAACAGGGCAGAAGTCAAACTGGTAGCACCCTGTGGCACAGATATAGGAACAATCTGGCCCATTCATTCCCAATGTACAAACCAACCTTACCTAATAAGGCCTTTTTCCTCTAAAGTATCCCACAGATTCAATATTTTCATGAAAGTGAGAGCATTGGTTTCCATCAGGGTCTCCTTAATGGTGTAGGACCATAGTCGAGATGCTGAACATACATGGTCAGTGCATAAGCAACGTTTGAAGGAAGGCAAGCTCTGGAGGACTACCACTGAACTGAATTAGCAAACTTTCTTGATTAAAGGTATCCTGAGCATGGTAAGTGCTTGAAATTTAGATATGGATGCTGCTTTTATTTCATGCATGAAGTCTAGACACTTCTGTATAAGCAAAGGGTCTGAAACATGCTCATTTGGATGTTTCCTGTGTGTTCAGACACACTGAGCAAAGTTGTCATAGCTCAGTTTTTTGAAGATGACAGCATATTCAAGCTGCAGACAAAGTACCTCCTAGGATTGTAAGCCCTCAGCTAATCCTGTCTGCCATCCTTCATTATTTTCAGGTTTGTTGTATGGATGTAAAATTCACCGAGACTAAGATAAGGCTTCCACTTCCAGCTATGAGAGTAACCAGTACCTGACTAGACCATAAAATAACAAAATGTATGTGAGGCAACTTCTTTCAGACAGTGGACAACATGTAGCACAGGACAGTGGTCCCTGAGAGAAAGGAAGCTCCTCAGGTAATATGTCTAGCTGTCTGCTTAAGGCTATTACCCTGACTCTAGTACAGTGAGTTAGAGTCCAAGCGGACCACAATGCTCCCTGAGCTGAGGCGGCAGAGATCAGAGTTCAGGGTAGTCCCAGGGGCTGGAATCTGCAGGGGAGGGCAAAAGAGAAAAGAAAGCTGTACAGAGTACCTCATAATTATGGGGCTATTTTTTTTTTCTTCACTTTATTATCATAACTCTAAGCAGCATAGATACAAATACAATGAACTTGGGTCACAAAAGAGATACATTTCTTTTTATCAGGCCTGACATTATCTTGCCAAAAGTCCATGTGGGAGTTCCCTGTGAGGTCTTGGCCAAAGGCTGAGCTGCTTGTGTTCAGTGCAAGACTAAATGAAGCTTACCAGAAAGCAGTTGCTACAAGGTTTAGAGACAAGAGATACTAGAAGTTGAGCACTGCTGGGGAACGTTGGAGACCCAGCCTAGCCAGAGTGGAGTGCTAACACATTCATCCTCCAGACCCCCAGCTTACATACCAGAAAGGCCCACCTCAAGAGTAAGGACTGGGCCCTAGAGTAAGGCCCACAAAGCTTAGAAGCAAATCCTGATAAGGGGAGAGTTTTAGAGATTGTGTTCCAACAAGTTAGGGAGTCTTGGGATACACCTTCGGCTTTCCATAGATAGACCTTAACAAAAGCTTAAACCAAGCCTTCACATATTCAAGATAATTAGCTTTGAATTGCCAGTATGAATAAAAGCCATCGACTTACTTTTCAGAAGAAGCTAAGAGAATCCAGAGTGTATTACATACCACCCACCATATACAGTATGCACACATCCACTCTCCTGTTCTCCAATAAGTGGAAGCAGCCTGAGGCCCTCACCAGATGCAGCTGCCCAATCTTGGACTTCCGGCCACTAGAATTATGAGCCAAATAAACCTCTTTTCTTAATAAATTACCTAGTCTCAGGTAATTTATTGTTTAGCAACACAAAACAAACTAAGATGCTGACACTGGTGTTGGCAATAATTTGGGGGTAGAACACCAAAAGCACAAACAACGAAAACAAAAATAAACAGTGGGATTACATCAAACTAAAAGGCTTCTGCACAGCAAAGGAAACAAGAGTGAAGAGGCAACCTAGAGAATGGGAGAAAATATTTGTAAACCATACATCTAGTAAGGGTTAATATCCAAAATATATAAAGAACTCACACAACTCAATCGCAAAAAAAAAAAAAACCCAAAAAAACAAACCTGATTAAAAATGGGCAAAGGGCCTGAATATCCATATTTCCAAGGAAGACATAAAAAATGGCCAACAGGTATATGAAAACATCAGTAATCATCAGAAAAATGCAAATCAAAACCTCAATGAGATATCATCTCACACCTGTTAGGATGGCTTTTATCTAGAAGAATAAGTGTTGGTGATGGTGTGGAGAAAACAAAACCCTTGTACACCGTTGCTGCAAATGTAAATTGGTGCACTGTGAAAAACAGTACAGAGGTTCCTAAAGAAATTAGAACTACCATATGACCCAACAATCCCTCTTCTCAGTGTATATCCAAAGGAAATGAAATCACCATCTGGTAAAAATGCCTGCACTCCCATGTTCACTGCAGCATTATTCAATAGCCAAACTACGGAAACATCTGAAGTGTCAGCTGATAGATAAACGGACAAAAATTGTGAGATTGACACACACACACACACACACACACACACACACACACACACGAATATTATTCAGCCTAAAAGGAGATCCTGCCATTTGTGATGATATGGATAAAACTAGGGGACATTATGCTAAATGAAATAAATCAGACACAGGAAGAACAATGTTATATTAGCTCACATATATGTGGAATTAAAAAAATACATAAAAACAGAGTAGAACAGTGGTAAAGGTAGGGGGGGAACAAGAAGATGTAGGTAAAAGAGTACAAAGTTATAGTTATGGAGGATGAATAAATCTAGAGATCTAATGTACAATATAAAGACTAGTTAATAATATATATACTAGTAATTTGCCAAGAGAGTAGATTTTAAGTTCTCTTGATGTATACGTTAATTTGCTTGACTACAGTAATCACTCCACTACATATATCAAACATCATGTTGTACACTTTATCTTATTTTTTAAAGATGACGGGTAAGGGGATCTTAACCCTTGACTTGGTGTTGTCAGCATCACGCTCTCCCAAGTGAGCTGACCGGCCATCCCTATACAGGGATCCGAACCCGTGGCCTTGGTGTTATCAGCACCACACTCTCCCGAGTGAGCCACGGGCCGGCCCCTGCTGTACACTTTAAATAAGGTGTATCAAAACATCATACTGTACCCCTTAAATAATGAAAAAAATAAAAATTAAAAAGAAGCTGAGGGTAAAATAAAGATATGCTTCAGTGAATGAAACCTGACAGAACTGCCATAGCTGTGCTATTAAAAAACATTAATATTCTTCAGGCTGAAGGGAAATACTAGATAGAAATCCAGACCTACAGGAAGAAATGAAAAAGCACTGCAAATGACAATTTCCTTAAAAAACAACTTAATGTTTAAAGCAGAGCAGGGGTGAGCAGGTAAAAGGAATTAGACTGCTATAAAGCTAGTTTAGCTGTGAAGTGGCGAGTGTGAACTGTGAAGTAAGGAGTGTGAACTGTCAAGTATAGAGTGGCCCGTAGTGCCTCTGAATAGACTGGTCTGTCAAGGGCTTGTATTGCTAGCCCTGAAGCAGCAGTTCTCAAACTTTTTGTTCTTTACACTCAAAAAAATTGAGAGCCACAAAGAGCATTTATTTATGTAGCTATACCTGTCAATATTTATGTTAGAAATTAAAACAGAAAAGGTTTAAATATTTATTATTTTAAATGACAATAACCCATTCAATGTTAACATATATTTTTACAAAAATAATTTTCTTAAAAACAAAATTTAGTGAGAAAAGTGACATCATTTTATAGTTCTGCAAATCTCTTTAATGTTTGGCTTAATAGAAGGCAGCGGATTCCCATACCTGCTTCTGTATTTAACCTGCTGCAAGATGTTGTTTTGGTTGAAGTATATGAAGAAAATCTGGCTTCACACAGATAGTTGGAAAGAAGGAATATTTAATAGCCTTCTCAGATAACAATATCCTTTGATGTTTAATAATACACTAACAATTGACAAGTGATTGAAGGGTCCTGGCTTTTAGTCAATTCTCATAAAAATTATCTCCAAAATTATAACATTGTTTGGGTGCAGTGTCAGAAACTAACCAGGTCGCTACACCACAGTTTTTACAAGGTTAAGATAAGCCTTCTAGAGTCAGGAGTCACATTCCTTTTCTTTCCCACCCAAAGCTTTCTTCCTCCAAATCTATCCAATTACAGCACAGAAAATGGAAGACCTCCTGGCTTACATGAAACTTGGCTTACTTAGAACTTCAGGATTGGTAGAAGGTGACTGGTTCCTTTTCACTCCTAGGCCCAGCCCTACACAGGTGAATCTTAGGATATGTTTTAGAATAGGGTTAATTATCGGGTTTCTTAGGTGAGATTGTGACTTTCTTCTTAATGAAAGGACCTTTATTTTTTCCTATCAGGTTCACCCACATATTGTTGTTTCTCAAAACTCAGAGGGTTTTAAAAGAGGAGGCAAGATATAAGATTTTTATTGAAAGTAGTTTAAATATCATGCAAACTTGGCTTGAAAAGTACTTATTTTTTAATTATGCCTAAAGATGATTCACTTGTGAAAACATGTAATGAACACATCTATAGTTAAACAACCCTTTCCCCACGAAGGCAAAATTACTGAGAAATGTTTATTTTCCATTTCAAAATGGCTAGTCCAGGTAATTATATGGCTCCAGGTGGTAAATTCACATTGCTTTGCTCTCTTAAACCCACAAATCTTCAAGAACCACATTACTGAGGTGCTGGCTTGTGTTTGGAAACAGAATGATACCCAGGTCTTACAGGTCCAGGGCCCCGTGGACAAGCAGGCTCTTGTCCTCCACGCTGGCCACCATGTCTTCAATGGCATTCCAGTCAAGCTTGCTGAGGATACTGCCAGTGCTCCCAGACATGCTGTCCATGCCGCTCACCCCAAAAGGAGGCTCTTGCTCTTGCTCTTCCTCTTCAGTTGATGACAAGCCCTATCAAGTTGAAAAGAGAGTCAGTGGTGGTCCTAGCCCGAGAGAAAATAAGTGGAACATGAACTAAGCTTTCCAGAGGCTCCATAGTCACCCATCCATCAAGGGGCTGAAGGGAACCATGGCTGTGGTTACCCAGCACATGGGACTGATAACGCACTGAATGAACACCATCTGACCCCACTACATGCTAGCACCAGACGTGAAGAGTGGACAGAATGGAGTTTGATACCTGTGGTACAAATTATCTGTTCTTACATTTTTGTTGTTTTTGCATTACAAGGAAAACACGAAGTTAGGGAGATTCTGAAAGATAAGTGTTGGAGTACTAAATCAAAAGGGCAGATGTTATAAACTGACCTAACAGTACTTCTACATCCCACAAAAACAAACAAAAACACTGATGAACACACAGCAATCACTAGACAAAATGAATCTGGAACAATGCTTACTTGTAGAAGGGAACTGTGACTCTCATGAAGAATCTTACGGATTTCTGAAGGTAACAGCCAGGGACTCACCACAGTCTCCTCTGTCTCGTACTCTATACACACCTGCTTGGTTGGAGGTGCAAGCCCAGCACTTCCATGTTTTTTTGTATGCTGTGGATTACGACATGGAGCATTAGAGCCTTTCAAGAGAAAAAGAACAAAGCATACATTAGAACTGATTCGCTCATTCGTTAACTTATTGAGACTTTTATTGTCAAAGTCAAGGCAGTCATATTTTACCTAATATTTGAAACATAAGGTCAAGATATTGTTCACTTTAGAACTCTACCAATTCCTGTCCTGTCATTATGTGAGATGGAAATTGAATTCTGCCACCTTTCTTGATTTGAAAAGTAAGGGTAACTAATCTCTAGGACAAGAGAGTCTAGGGATGAGAGGCCACAGATATAATGGAACTGTAGAGAAATCTTGACTTCAAAGTTACATGAGCTTGGAGAGCTGGGCCTTCCCTGCCCTTTATGGAAAGTCATATAGAAGCTTCCTGGGAGCAATGTTTCAAGCATCTTCACCCAGGCTTCATGCCTACAATCTGCCTTTGGGAACAGGTACCAGGGAAAGTGAGGTGACAACACATTGTGGCCCTCTCCTCCTTACTGTATATATAAGTATTTGTCAAAATGAACCTTTCATCCCAGCTAAGTGCACGGAGGCAGCTTAGCAAACTCATCAACCAATAAGGCTTCTCTGCACAAGGCCCTAGAGGAGCTTGCCCACCTAATACAATGTCCCAAAGCCAATGTTACAGCCCATTCTACCCCTCACCAAGGTGACCTCCTGAAGAAACACCCAAGACATGGGTTAAGATGGGTCCCTCACAAGTGGTCATATGGCTCCCTGAAGAGGGAAAAAGAGGTAAGAGATTGCTGAAGTTGGTCCCACTTGGCCTTTTATGGCTCTACCAACCTTATGCACTTGAAACTGATATCTCCAAGAAATAAGCCCCCCAACACAATAACAGCCCACACTTTGGCATTTTCTATGGGCTAAGCACCTTATCTACATTCAGTCCCTTGAATTTACCAGAGTGCTCCAGGTTTGGTCTTTGGGTCATCTTACACATCTACTCTCATCTAGCTGACCTCATCTAGTTCCATGGCTTTAAATATCATCTACATACAGATAACTCTCTCAAACCTGTACCTTTAGCTTCATAGAACTAACTGCCTTCTTGAATCGCCACTTGGATATGCAATAAACATCTGAACCTTAACACGTCCAAAACCAAACTACTAATTTTTACTCTTAGGAGTAAAAATTTCTCCATCCCAGGAAATACCCAGGTTAAAATCCAGTTGTTCTTCATCCTTCTTTCTTACACATTCCACACCCAATCCATCACCAAGTCCCTAATTTGGTCTATCTTTAAAGTATGAGGGTACTTCAAATAGTTCATGGAAAGACTCATATTATCTATTAATTCTGTCGCTCCACGAACTTTCTGAAGTACCCTTGTACATCCTGAATCTAATGACTTTCCCCATTTCCACTGTTATAACCCTCATTCAAGAAATTTCTACTTGTTTGCATTCTTCTGTTCTTTTTCTCCCATAAGTTTTAAAACATAAGTTATATTATTCCCCTACTTAATTCCCTCCAATGGAGTCTCATTGGATACAGAGTAAAATCCAAACTCCTTGCCTTAGCCACAGTATCTAGCTCTCTCCCTAACCATGTCTCTGGCCACTTTTCCACACTCATCTTTTCGTCATACCAAGTTCGTTTCTGTATCAGGGATTCGAACTACTTGCTGTTCTTTCCACCTGTTAGTTCTGCCTTCTCCTTTCATCATTCAAGGTCTTCACTCCAACATCGCCTTTTCAAAGAGGCCTTTAACCGCTCTAGCTAAAGTAGCTCCACCTGACCAGCCTCATTCTCCCTTATTTGTGTGCTGTTGTGTTGTTCATGACTGAAAGTGCCTGTTATGTAGTAGCAGCTCAACAGATGGTTGCTGAATGAACGCCCTTCATGACAACACTATAGGGAAAGTGTTATCCCCATTCTGCAAATGCGGGAAGTGAGGCTTAGAGAAGTTATATAATTTGCCCAAGATGATGGAGATGGTCTACCCCAGAATCCGTGCTGATGTATTAACTTTCTGTTCTTTTGGGTGAAAGGAGAATAGTACTCAGAGGGTCTGTAAGTGAGAAATGAATAGGTCTACTTATTTGGATCCCCAAGGCAGCAGCTTTCCAAAAGCTTCTTGCAGGATTAGTACCAAATGAAGGGGGATAGTGGTACAAGAGGGCTTAGGGATTTTTCTTTTGACTAGCCCCAAGGGTCTGAAAGAGAAACAAAGTGAACATTATTTGGTAGCACCTGTGTTTGCCATTTTAACATTCAATGTGAGAGCTGTGATCTCTCTCACTGAAAAAGGTTTGACTTTTTTCCTATTTAAAGACATCACTGAGAATTTTGAGATGCCTCTGAAAGTTCCATGTTAAAATAACTATTTCAGTAAATATTACTAAGGAACAAATTTTGGAAAACTTTATGAAAGAAAAACGTATATAAGCAGACAATGGGAATGAGTACATTAAGAAACACTGTGGTAAAACACAGAAAAAGTGAGACAAAGAGAAACCAACAAGTGGTTAATAATATAACCACAAGGGTAGGCTGTCTCTTCAAAGTAGAAGGAAATGAACTGAGCTGGAGTGCTGAAACTGTTTGAGTATTCAGCAAAGGCTGTGAACACCAACTAATCCCATCCCCATCTCTGCTACAATAATTTGATATCTGGACTTCAGCACTCTTGTCTTGTCATATTAACATAATTACTGCTATCTAGAAAGAATGACAAAAGCAAATCATCACCAAGTCTGTTGAAATTAAACAATCCTGCATTTTAGGATAAATCTTCACCTATGGTGTATCTACAAACCATGAGAGGCTATTACTGGCTTTCTCTCACCTTGCTCTACCCAGGGATGGCTCTGTAATTTCCTTCTCTTCAGACCATAATGCATTTCTCTAGGATTTATTTGGGAAATCCAATCTTGATATAAAAAAACAATATAAGAAAAATTCTGTAACACTGAGCATGTTTAAGGCTTTTCAAGCTAGGCTGTTTCTACCACAATAAAAGCTTTCTAAAGTGAAAGGTAAGTGAAATATCAAGAAGAAACCTCACAGTATATACCAGGCTGTCAAGAGCCCAGCTTTTCTCAGACAGGAAGCACCCTTTCTCTGTAGGACACGGTATACTGCCATTCGGTTTCTTTACAACATATTGCCGAACAGTGTCTATAGAGTACAGCCTGAGAAATCTGAAACTGAATGATAAAACTAAACCCATTACCTTCACTACTCCCAAAAGAAAATCCTGCTCCTCCTCTTGCCCTGCGTTTCTCAGTGAGTGGGCCACAGTCTAGCCAGGCACTCAAGCTACAAACCTGAAGTGATACCCAATTTCTTACTCTCGAAGCAGGGCTACTACTGAACAATGAAACAAATACTTAGGGCTTTCTATGGGCAAGGCTAGATCAAGAATGCAAAACCCTGGATTTCTGGAGCTTTCATGAACAATACAATATAAATGTACATATAATTTCAACTGTTTTTAGGGACAACATTGTATTTTGGGGCATTTTATCTACTGAACTAGACATCGCTAGGTATTTGCTTAGAAAAGAAAAGGCTATTGAGTATTGTAAACTAGAAAATATTTTACAAAAGATTAAAAGGAGAGACTTTGAAAGAAAGAAAAAAACTAGCTTGGAATTATAAAATAAAAGCACAGAAAATGATGCTTCTAGGATTCAAATTGATCCTAGTAATTAGAATCTTGGGTTTGAATACATGCATGGGAGAAAGAATAAAAAAAGAACCAAATAGAACTTCTAGAAAATATAGCCATTGACATTAAATACATGACAGATGAGTTAAATAGCAGATTAGACATAGCTGAAGAGAGATGTGGTAAAATGAAAGATGGATCTGCAAAGAAAGTAGGTAACAGTGGAGAGAGAGGCAGAATGGCAAAACTAGACTATAATTATTTCATATTTCTCATCATTTTTATAGTACATATAAATCAGTGTTTTCTCTTCATCATTATCCCTACCAAATTTAGTTCTTTGCTTTAAATGGGGATAAACTCCACAGACCTCACTGGATTAATGTGTGGATTAAGTGAGATAATGCACATAAAATGTTAACCAGTGCTCGGCATCGAGTAAGTACACTATAACTGTTTGCAAATATTTTCATTGCTCTAAGGAGATCTGAGCAGGTCACTTAACTTCTCTAAACCTCAGTTTTCTCAGTTGTATGATGGGTATAGTATGTACCAGCATTGTTACATATGTCCTATTATAATCCATATTTTGTAGGTGAGAAAATTGAGGCTTACGTAAATGGGTTAGAACTTTGTCCGAGGTTATAGAGTAAGTGGTGAACTAGGATTACAAGCAGACTCTAAACCCTCTTCTCTGAATCACTGCACCACACAGCCATACCCTTCACCCTAAAATCCATATCTGAAATTTCAGTGATTTACAATTTTTTAAAATTTAATATCAAATCTAGTAACTTTTATTTTTTTATCCCTTACTTTTTTGGAAAGTAACTGGAGCTGCACGGGCTTTCTTACTGCTGCTTTGGCTCTACCAGCTTTTTTCTACATGGTAAAAGTGACAGTTCCTATACAAACATACAAACTTTTTAAACCTTCCCTATGTATCCATGATTTTTCACATATCGTATTGTAAGTTCTTGGAGGACAGAAACCTTCCCAGCTCTGAATCCGTTCTCCAAGCATTGCTCATAGTAAGGGCCCGAAAATGGTGGTTCATTTGAACCAAGAAAGCAAAACAAAGTGCAGATAAAGGAAGGAAAAACTCTACTTTGAGACTTGGTATCCTTTGAGCACATTCATGAGCCCCTTTCAAATGTCAAATGTATTTTGACAACATCTCTGACAACTTTAAAAAGCCAGGAACATAAGCCTTGTTATAAACACCAATGAACACCTAGATAAAATGCCAAGTTAGATTTTATCAAGAGAATGATTAAGGTTTCTTAAACTCAAAGATTAACACAACTATTTACTGTCTATGTCATGTAAAATGCTTTACTTATAATCCCCAACAACTCTCTGAGATAAATAACACATCTGCAGGCAGCAAGCAAACAGTAGGGCTGGGATATGAACCTAAGTCTAGATGATTCTAAAACCTGTCTTTTTTATGCCTATGATGCCTGTCAGTTACTAATCATATAGCCTTTATACTGTTTCTGATTTAAAAAAAAAAAAAAGGACTCCTAACAGTTTGCAATCAGGGCTGAAGAAATTAGCCAGAGACTGCACACTGCTTTACAAGATAGAGAGCGACATATGGTCAAACTCTCAAGAATCTTCAGAATAACTCTTCTTTTTTTTTTTTTTTTGTCTTTTTCCGTGTCCGGCAACGGATCGCAACCCTCAGTGTCGCCCCCGTACCGGACCGGGACCGGCAATGGGATTGCAACCCTCGGTGCTGCCCCTGTGCCTCGCTCAGCCAGTGAGCGGGAACCGGTCTGTATGTGGGATCCGAACCCTCGGGCAGGAGCGCCGCTGCGCTTCCCAAGCGGCGCACTAGCGCAGTGCGCCACCGGGCCGGCCCAGAATAACTCTTCTTTTACAAATGAACTACAGTGAATTTCAAATGCTCACCTCCCCATGTATACAATGACTGAACCTGTCCCATGTGAGCTCAGGTTATAGGAAAGGGCCTGGGATCAGTCATGCCTGAGTTTCCCTACCATTTCCCCATAATATTGGCAGATCAAAAGCCCGTGAACAGAGCCAGGTGAAATGGTTGAGTTTTGAGTGCAGGAGAGGCCACCAGAACAATGGGAGCCACAGCCTACAAATCAAGGTGTCAGAGAAGTCAGAGCATTCACAAGTCCCCCAAGTTGCCTCTCTTATCTCTGCCTTAAAGATCTGGGGAAGCTAGGTGACAGATTACCTAGGATAACAGCCAAACATATGGTGTTGTTCTCTGACATGGGATAAATACTATAACACCCACCTATTAATATCCTTGAACAGTAATTCCTGTTCAAGGATATTATGAACCTGATCTTCATAATAACCATGCAAGTTAAGTGTTAGCCTCAATTTAGAAATGAAAATGTATAATTTAAAACTGATTATATCAGGTTGGAAGAAGTAAAGAATTAAGATTAGAGATGTCCTCAAAGATCCTGAAATGGGATGTTCAAGGCATAAGGGAGAATTTCAACTAAGGAATGGGAGCACAAAAGCATGGCATATGGGTGGGAAATGAGCTGTCACACCGCACAGATGACATGAGGTAAGGAGGCTAAGGAGGCAAAGAGAAACACACAGAGGATGCCTTGAAGTCCAGAGGGTCCAGACCTATCTGCATGGGTGTGAGTCACTGAGGGCTTCTGAGCCCAGCAGGAGCAGGAGCACCTCACCAAGCATAATCCAGCAAGCAAAAGTGAGATGGACTGAAGGATGGTCTGAGGCCACAGCAACAGTCAAAGGGCAAGGTAATAATAAAGGCCTGAAATTGGACAGGTACAAGTGGAAGACATGTTTCCATAGAATCCAAGACTTTTTCATCAGACAGTAAGAAAACCATGGTTCTGCTTTTTAAAAGCTTGCCAATTTTAAATGTTTCTTTAATTTTAACAAATACTCATATATCAGGTGTAAAATAAAATTTAAAAGAAAAGAAAGCATGGTTCACTATTTTGAAATTTTAGTTTACTGTAATTTGTAAATTAGTAAGAATTAAACAAACTATGAGGAGTTTTATCTAAACAATTAGATCTTATAGGGATTTCAATTTCCTAAATTGAGTCAGCATACTGGAGTACAGGTTCTAAGTGTGTAGGCTCTAGACCCAGACTGGGATTAAATCTTAGCTCTAACCACATACTGCGCACAGGTATTGATATTCTACACGGTACTACACAGATAGGTACAATCAATTATGTTTCAGTTAAATAAATAGGTATATAAATAAATAAATCCTGGCTCTACCTCTTCTTAGCTGTCTGATCTTGGGCAGTTATTTAAGCTTTCTCTGCCTTGGTTTCCTCATCTTTAAAATTGAAACATAATAGTATCTATCTCAGATGGTTGTAATCAAACAGCTTAAACAGAACCTGGCACATAAGTTAGTTGCTGTTATACAATTTTAGCTGTATACATTTATACTACATGTTAGCTATTATTATACATTTTTAATGTGTAATTATTTTACAAATAACTATGTTTTACTTTTGTAATCAAAACTCAAAGGGCCAGCCCAGTGGCGCACTGGAGAGTGCGCCGCTTGGGAGTGCGGCGGCACTCCCGCCGAGGGTTCGGATCCCATGTGGAGACCGGTTCCCGCACACTGGCTGAGCGCAGTGCGGGCGCAACACCGAGGGTTGCGATCCCGTTGCCGCTCCTCGGTACGGGTGTGACACCGAGGGTTGCGATCCCGTTACCGGTCAGTAAAAAAGACAAAAAGGAAAAAAAAAAAAAAAACTCAAATATGGCAAAACTAATTAAAGGCTAGCAATAAAACATATATCTTCAAATGACGAAAAGCATCTTCAAAAGGTTAAAAAATGACATTTCATTCTGAGCTTCCCAGCATTCCTCTTCTGTGATATACCTATCCTACAATCTATCAAACTTGATTCATACAAATGCTACATCTTGAGTCAGACATATGAAAGAAACAGACTCCCAAATAAGTTATATATAATTCACTGACTGTTCAAATTCTATTACAAAACAGCCATAATTTAAAAAGCTTCCTAGAGCCTTCATATTTAAAAGCAATAAAACAAAATCCCAACACAGCTAAGCTTTTATCAATCCCTTGTATTCTGTTGAAATTAGAACACCTTTTTACTAAGATTCATAGCTTTTACTAATAAAAACACAACTTTGGGGGCAAGAAAGAATAGGTCCAAATCACACAAAATAAAAAAGCTTTAAGTCTTACCACGTGGCCGAGGTGAGCCTTGAGGTTGTCTGAAAGGTTTCCCCTTATGGGCATAACTTGGTTTTGACATATGTCTGTCTTTTCCAAATTGATTTATTGGAAAATAGTGACAAAGTTGATTCTCTCTAAAGTAGAAATTACATAATTATTATATTCCTAGAATCTCACATCAGTGATAAGCCCTGATATTTCAAAAACCCAAATTATAGCCCAGATTAATACATTCACTTGCTACTGCTTATTCTGTACCTCAGTGATACATTTAATGCATAAGAGCCCTCAACAAATTATTCTTTACATTTCATACCTCAAACCTTATTTTTTTTCAAAAAAACTGTTTTTGGCTACCTCTACCCATTTCAAATTCTCCACATATTTGGCAGTTACTTATGTACTTAATCCCCTGTTTTATTCTAGAAAAGACTCAAGGAGAATCTCTGACATATTGAGTAAACTTCAAACTCACACATTAAGTGACCTGATTATGTCTGGGTTTCTATCAGCGGCATTTCCTCTAGGCTCTTAAGCTATGTGATTATATTTATAATCATAATCATTTATGAGTATAATTTTTTTAACAACACTGTACTGTCAATTCGTGTTCACCTTATGGATCCCCAATAGATATAACTTTGCATGTTTGTTTGCCATATATAAGAAATTTTTACAGTTGGGTACTTTTCTTTAGCATTCTATGTTTAATTAATTCCTGGCTACTAGACTCATATCCAAACCCTCTGCAGGTGAAATAGACAGTTGTATCTACAACTGAATGAGCATAACTGGGCAGGGTATGGAGGAGTAGCAGAAGGAGAAACGGCAAGCTGAGGGGGACTGACTGCTTCGGTAAGAATGAAGTGGAGAAACAGGCAGAGCAGTTAGGAGGCAAATTACAGAAGCAATTAACATAAACTAAAGAAAACAGGCCTAAACAGATACCAAATTTCATACTTCAGGTATACTGAAGTACTTGTTATAGCTTAGTTAGAACTTTTATACAATTTTTACCTTTTTCCTTGGTGATTATAAACATATAAAGACCTCATAGTTATCGGGGTATTTTTTTTCTTCACTTCATCATAACTCTAAGCAGGTAGATGCTAATACACTGAATTTGGGTCACAAAACAATACATTTCTTCTTATAAGGCCTGACGTTATCTTGCCAAATGACATGCTAAACCTTGTCTTACCCTCTTGGAGAAGGGTTGCATTGCCATCTGGAAGACTGAGCAGTGCTGGGTTTGTTAGGCAATGATTTCTGTGCAGTTGCTGGTAGTTGTACTGATTCAGATAACAGTTCATTCATCAGACTGTATGCCTGTGAGATTCGACGACTATAGTGGTCAGACAGCAGCAATCTTTAGACAAAGAATTAAATATCATTTACTAAAAGAGACAATTTCAGTTCATATTTCTAGAGGAAATATAGTGCTTGAAGACCATCTAGCATTTGCTTTTTTCAATGCTTTTCAAATCTTTCTGTTCATCAGATTTCTGAAAACCATTAGGCAGTATTATTAAAGGTATTTGTAGTTATGGTCTTTGGGGTATTTCCCAAATGTCCATACATATGGGAAAGAGAGAACAGCAGAAATGTAAAAATCATAAAAACTGAATGAAACAAATAATATTTGAAAGCAAATTCCTATGAAGCCTTGTGAGTCTAATTATTTTCCTTGCAGTGATATCTCCCATAATTTTTTGTTTATTGACAAAAAAAGAAACTATTGTGAAAAACAGAATTCCTAAGGCATTATCTATGCCTAAAATGAGCAAGCTAGAGAGAATGCTCAGGGTGTGGCTACCAAACTCACCTGTCTTTTTCATGCTTCATCTTTTGTCTCCGTCTTATCTCCCTTGAAGTCATGTAAAACTGTACAAGAAACATCATTAGTTTGTTATTGTTCAGTCCAAATAATCAAACCATTAGACGTAATTCTGCTATTTAAGAAACAGTATAAAATACTGTCATATTTGATGAACTTCCTACCCTATCACAAAACAGGAAAATGTTAAATTAAAACAACATGTAATTAAATTGAAATCCAATTTAATAAATGGAATACAAAATCCATTTTACTAGTTAAATTGATATATTTTCTCAAAGGGGAGAACCTTATTAGCTGCACTTAAAATGGAAAATAGAAATATTTTAGGAATGGAAACACCTATACTTTGTACTCAATCTGGTGATTAGGAGATGAAAAATCTCTAGGATGAGAACTACAAATCACTGCTGAAGGAAATTAAAGAGGACACAAAAAGAGGGAAAGACATTCCATGCTCTTGGATTGGAAGAGTCAACATTGTGAAAATGTCCACACTACCTAAAGCAATCTACAGATTCAATGTAACCCTCATTAAAATACCAGTGACATTCTTCACAGAAATAGAAAAAAAATCCTAACATTCATATGGACCAACAAAAGACCCCAAATAGACAAAGCAATCCTAAGCAAAAAAATAAAGCTGGAGGCATTACACTTCCTGACCTCAAGTTATACTACTACAAAGCCACAGTAACCAAAACAGCATGGTACCAACATAAAAACAGACACACAGACCAATGGAATAGAACAGAGAACCCAGAAATCAACCCACATACTTAACAGCCAACTGATCTTCCACAAAGGTACCAAGAACATACAATGGGGAAAAGGCTGCCTCTTCAATAAGTGATGCTGGGAAAACTGGATATCCATAAGTAGAAGAATGAAACTAGACCTGTACTTCTCACCATATACCAAAATCAACTCAAAATGGATTAAAGACTTAAATATAAAACCTGAAACTATAAAAGTACTAAAAGAAAATATACGGGAAACACTTCAGGAAGTAGGACTGGGCAAAGACTTTATGAATCAGACCCCAGAAGCACAGGCAACAAAAGAAAAAACAAAGGGGATTATATCAAACTAAAATGCTTCTATACAGTAAAAGAAACAATTAACAGAGCAAAAAGATAACCCACAGAATAGGAGAAAATATTTGCAAACTGTACATTCAACAAGTGATTAATATCCAGAATATATAAGGAACTCAAACAACTTCACAGTAAAAAAAAAAAACTGATTAAAAAATGGGCAAAGGAGATAAATAGGCACTTCTCAAAGGACGATATACAAAATGGCCAATAGACACATGAAAAACACTCAACATTACTAATCATCAGAGAAATGCAAATCAAAACCACATTGAGATATATCACCTAACCCCGGTTAGACTTGCTATTATCAAAAAGACAGAGAATAACAAATGCTGGCAAGGACATGGAGGAAGAGGAACCCTTCTACACTGTTAGTGGGACTGTAAATTAGTACAACCATTATGGAAAACAGTAAGGAAGTTTATCAAACAACTACAGACAGAAGTGCCATATGACCCAGAAATCCCACCACTGGGTATTTACTCAAAAGAATGGAAAGTATCATGTTGTACAAATACCTGCACCCTCATGTTTACTACACCTCTATTTACAATAGGCAAGAGCTGGAACCAACCTAAATATCCATCAACAGGTGACTAGACAAGGAAAGTGTGGCATGTATACTCAATGGAATACCACTCTGCCATAAAAGAGAATGAAATTCTGCCATTTGCAGCAACATGGATGAACTTAGAGAAAATTATGTTAAATGAAATAAGCCAGGCACAGAGGATAAAATTCCACATGTCCCCACTCATAAGTGGGAGCTAAAATAAATAAATAAAATAAAATAGAAAGAAAGTTACAACATTCACAATAATACATTGAACTTTCAAAAGGAGAGAACAGAACTGAGGTTATCAGAGGGGGGAAAGGGGGAATGTGAGGGGGATTTACTGAGAAACTGGTAAAGGGCCACAAAAAAATGATTACATTATGTAGTGTTGAATATACTAATTAAATTGATTAATCTCACCAAGAGCTTGGTTGATAAGGCAGAAATGAGTCAGGCATTTAAAATCATCATTTTGATATTTTAAAATATTTACCAGAAACCTACTGCAGTGAGTTCCGTATGACTTGTAAACTCCTCAAAATTTATGCATCAGAAGGCAAACTGACAAATGTCAGACATATGAGGGTACTTCAAAAGATATACAGAAAAACAGAATTTAAAAATATGAAAAAAAAGATAATAAAAATCATTCTATGGACTTTTTCAAGTACCCTCATATACATCTTATTCCAGAATATTAAGAATTAGTTAGTTACGTGTAAAGCTAAGTCTCTTTATACACAATTATATATATAAAAACATGCACCCAGAAGTAAATTCACTTTATCAAGGTCCTGCAGAGAAGTAGTCACTAATAAATTAAAGGTCTTACTGATTTCTTATAGAATTCAAATGACACGTTTAATTACATTTAACTCCTCACTAATCCCATACCTTTACCCCAAAAGAAGCTAAAAATAAACAGGTGTTTGTGATCTTGAACAAAATGTCACAAAGTCTATAAACTAAACAGACCTCATACCTTCCGAGTTAATTTATTCTAAATGTAGACAAAATTCTAACCATCTTGGGTATTTACTTGGCTGAGAGGGAAGGGGATTTCAGAATGCACACGCGTGCATGCGCACGCAATTGAAGATTCTGGTCACGTACCTCAACAGCTCTGAAGCTTATTACCATGCTCTTGGAGCCCTCAAGAAACTGTTATATTAATACCAATTATACTCTTTTCAGCAGAGACAGGTAAGTAAATTATACACTCAAAACAACAGTTCACCTACTTTTGCACCATTTCGTGTTTAAATGGGACAGCCTTATCTGGAAAATCCACTTACAGAATTTGTTCACCTAATGTTGTTGAAAAAATAAAATGCCATAATATTTTACATCAGATTATAAAGGAAAAGATAAACTGTGATCTAATTGTAATTTTTGCAGTAATGTGACTATCAAAGTGATAATGCCTAGTTTCACCTTTTGAAGAAAAATACTCCTGACCTCGCCATGATTATGTCCATATTCAGGGCTCAGTAAATAAATGCTCACAGTTTGAAAGGCAGTTGAAAAAACAACACACACACACACACACACACACACACACTCACACACAGCTCATTGTTCTGTTGGTACAAGACCGGACCATAATTTTTCTTTGTATTATTTGCAGATTACTCTTAAGATAGAAAATTGAGTTTTACAAACGGCTTTACTACACACACACTCAGTTGTTCAACTGCCATGGACTCTCATTGAAAATTAAAGAAACAACTCCAATTGGTCAGTCACTCAATCACTCAATCTCCTCATTTCATTAAAATGCTAGAGCCATAATCAGCCTGGAAGAGAAAAAAATTTTAAGACAGTTCAATAGAACACGATTATTATTAAGGTAATTTCTTAACTTTTCCTGATTAAGAAAAATGTTGAGCTTTCTGCCAAACAAAAAATAAAAATGTTAATCTTTTTACTGAATTATTTAGCAGTAAAAAAAACTATGCGTATTCTGAGATAATTCCATTACGCTCGACACTGTAGACTTACTGGATTGCTTCTGGGGCAGAAAGGGTCATGTTCTCGCCCTCTCTTTTCAGCCAGCTGATTTAGGTACTCTGCCATTCTTTCTTTTCGTTTTCTTTTCATCCAGACTCGAATCTCTCTTCTCTCCTTCTCAGTTCTTTGTGGACGTCTGCCAGAAGAATGCTGAATCCTGAGAAATTTAACAAGCAAGTTATCATTTACTTTTAATTTTGTTATGCAGATAAGAAGTATCACAACTAAATACTACTTATTTGGAAAGATTTTGCCCCATCTTGAATAGTATACACTTATGATCTCTAATCAACTTGCTCCAATCTGTTCTGAAAATGGTCTCAGAAAGGTCACCAAGAACTTCTCTATAACATTTGCTTTAAACTCTTTTCTCTTCTTTTTTAAACTCTCTCACCTGGGTCTTTTCCTAACTCTCAAAATACCACACAGCCTCCTACATTGGCTCCTTTCATCTCTGCTCACCACTTCAATATTAATGTCTTAAACGTTCCATTTTGGTCTTCTTTATCTGTAATCTATTCCCTGGACTATTTTAATCACATCCAAAACTTACAATACAGAATTGACTTCCAAGCTGCTGCCCTTCTGTACCTAATCCCATGTTCAGGCCTATGCCACACTTCCCGTGGTCTGGCCCAAGTTAATAACTAAGCATGGCAGGGATGCTGTGGCTGGCCCATACCTTTAAGACACCAATAACTCTGTGGATGACTGGCATGAAGTCTTACCACTGACCTGGCTGGAACGTTCTTAGAACTGCGCTGCGCTCTGCAACTATTGCCCCAACCCTCTTTCCTTCTCAGGGATGGCTCAGACCTGCATTGTGGTTTGATGCTTTCCCCCACTTCTAGTGTTTTCCCCCTATTCCACTCATAGGCATTTCCCCAATTAATCTCTTTTACATCTAATCTCATCTTGACTTCTGCTTCTGGGAGGATCTGAACTAACGCAAGATGTACTAGGAGTGGTCCAAGAAAACAGGCGGAGCAAGATGGGGATTGGGGACAGATGCTTACCCATGTGAAGACACCATCCTAAATGGAAAGTGAGTCACAGACACAAACAATGTGGTTTATTCTGAACACCTGCTTTCCTTCTGGGAGTCTAGAATCTCAGTACATGCCGGCACTACCCCCCAATAAAACCCTGGGCTCTACGTCTCACCTCAGCTTGCCTTGTAAGACAACATTTCACACATGTCACGACTTATTGCTAGAGGAATTACATGGGCTGTGTATGACTCCACTGGGAAAGGATTCTTGGAAGTCTCTGCCTGGTTTCCCCTAGAATTCACCCCATGTATATTTTCCCTTAACTTATTTGGCTTTGAATAAATTATAAATTATAATTTTGCTGTAATAAATTACAGCCATAAATATGACTATATGCTGAGTTGTGTGAGTCTACCTAGTGAATCACTGAAACTGGGGGTGATCTTGGGGACCCCCCACAAGGGGCACATCCACAACAGCACTGCAGTTTGACAGCTGTCGCCATCTTTTATGTCTCCTACCCTTCTTCCTTCACAGGTATTTCTCCAACAAAATCTCTTGCTCATCTAAAACCCATCTTGACACCTGCTTCTCGGAGGATCTAAAACTAACATACCAATGAATACTACCATCTGAATGTTCTCCTAGCACCTTAATTCTAAAACTACATTCTCTGTCTTGCTAAAGAAATCACAATCGACTCGGTCATACAAGGTAGAAAAGCTGTCACTCTTAACCCCCAGCAGCTTCCAGTGTTACCCCAAACCCTCCATTCTGATCCATCTCATCTCTAGTCTACTGAAGTAACTCTTCCAACTATCTCCCATTTCTAGTCTAAAACCTTTGCTGGCTCCCCTACCACTTGCACGGAAGTTGAACTCAGTGAGGGCCTCTGGTCACTACATCCAGCGAGCCCCACTCTCCCCTTCGAACATACAAACTCAAGCCACATCTCACTCCTTGCCCTTCACTACCCAGCCCACCTCTGTGTGTATTCTCTCTGCCTAGAATCTAGAATATCCTTTCCTCCAGTTATCAGCCACATGAATTTCTACTGATCCTTTGAGATACAGCTCAAACACCAGAACTGGTGAAGCTGCCTTTCTGACTGACTTTCTTCTCCTGAGCTCCCGTAGCGTATTGATATAACTTGGTCTTACAGGTCTATCTCTAAGGATAGAAACCATATTTTACTCTTATCCTAATTCTTGACATTTAATAGAGTATTGATAACATGATGATTAACTTGAAAAAGGAACAATTAAAGATAATGAAATGTGTTAATTTAGGAAGTTAGGGTTTACATGGTCTTGATATAAGGGCATAAACACAATACAAATAAATTCCAATAATTAAATAGAAATAGTCTTTTTTTTTTCCTGTTGGTTCTGGTAACAGCCTTGAAAGTTCAGTTATAATACACTGCATTTTCACTGTAACAAGTAGAATCGAACTAGGAAATAAAGTATAGCTGCTATTAATAAGGTTATCTATTTTATATGAGCAAGCCAAGAGGTAGATGTACAAGTGCACTTCAAAAAGTTCATAGAAAGATTCATATTATCTCTCAGTTTGATTTTTCCATGAACTTTAGCCTAGTATCTCAAAGAATTAGGAAAATCAGCCTTCATTGTATGAGGAACCACTTCCTGACTCAGGAAGAGTTGCAAGGAGAAATATTTTGACATAATTTTCCAAGGAAAGGATATTTAAAATGTATTCTAAGGGTTAATACTTAAAGTACCATGAACTAAATCATTAATTAGGATTAAATGCATGTTGTATTTAAAGTGATGAGAACTTAGGAAAACTCACAGGATACAGATGTGCTGTATTAGTTAAATAAACCAGTCTATATATACTGCTGAAGGAAAGGAAGGATGATGCATACACATCACAAAATATATTAATGAAGAAAAAAATCTATTCTAAGCTTCAAATTTATTTCATAAAAATCTTACTAAAATATGACCAATTTTTTAAGCATTCTTGAACCAGAAACATTTTAAATGGGTTGAAAATGAATTCTTCACACCAAGGTCAAGGGTTTGAATGCCCAGACAGGACAGGTGCCCCCCAAAAAGAATTATTCAATGATTACCTGGAGATACTCCTGGCTTGTTGTTCTGTTAAGCCAAGCTCTTCACTGGAAACTCCACCTTTAGTTATAAGGTCATCAATAATGTCTGCAATATCAGTCAATCCAGTCATCTGGAGTGGATCTACTGAAACACTTCATTTGCATATGTAATTTGAGAAATATAAATCAGTATCTACAACTTATTTACATTAAGCAAAAATGAACATATAAAAACTATTCCTTCCAAAAGCATAAATGAACACAAAATGATAACCAAATATCTACTCTTCCTTCTATTTCTGTAATTCCAGTATTTTTCAGTAGAAAAGGCCTATAATCAATAATTGATGACTTGGGGCTAGCCCCGTGGCTCACTCAGGAAAGTGCGGCTCTGGTAGCACTGAGGCCACAGGTTCAGATCCTACATGCGGATGGCCAGTGCGCTCACTGGCTGAGTGTGGTGCCGACAGCACCTAGCCAAGGGTTACGATCACCTTACCGGTCAAAAAATAATAATAATAATAATAGAAATAATAATAGTAATTGATGACTTGGTGGGTGCTCTAAAAAAAAGTAAACATAAGGCCCTGGAGGAAACCTGCCTGCTGAAATTTAATACATATTTAGTAAAAGAAAATGCAGTAAACATAGTCTCGTATTCTAATCACCTGTGCTAAAACAGTAAGGAATATAACAATCCTCAGCTTCCTAAAACACCCATTCCCATGGGAATTTATTGTATTCCTTTAAGCCACGAAGGGATGTGTAGTGGAAACGTTTACATAGATATGAGGACACTTCAAAAAGTTCATGGAAAAATTAAAAGATAATACAAATCCTTCCATGAACTTTTTGAAGTACCCTCTTATGAATGACAAAATTTCCAGAACACATATTTATAACCAACTTTAAGTAAAATCATGAATTAACTCTTAAGATACTTACCTCTCAAATAATTCATCACTGTTATTCACACCTTTAAAAAAGAAACATATTATTAATAAAAATGTTCAGGTTTTTTTTTTTTTACTTTCAATTTTTAATCTGATTTAGAAATTATATAACCATAAATAGAAATATTTTTAAACCTCCAAATTGGTTTAAAGATATATATGTAAAGCATATTTATCCTGCTCTAAATACACTATTTGGTAGTGAATATTGTCTACATTTTAAAATTATTACTTTTCTATTCCAAGCACTTTGTATAATAGACTTCAGGAGGCACAACTCTTCTTCGCTTAGTACACAGTTTGGAGACCTGGAGTACAATTTACTTTATTAACAAAACAAAAAACAAACAAAAAATACCCACATCTGGTGATTTGAAAGTAGTGAATTTTGGAAAATATCTAATTTAAATCCAAGAAGAAATTTACTTGAAAGAACATGACCCAAAGAATGATTTTTAAGCCTTGTCCCATATTAAATACATATCTTTAAAGCAAAACACTTAATCTATTCAATCTTCTATATGTTTAATTCTGAAAGAGAACTGAGTTAGCATAGGAAAGAGCATTCTGACATCTCTTATTTAAAAAATTTTCCTTAAGATTTTATTAGACTAAGATAAATCAAACCTGCCCCTAAAAGCTATACATCCGCATGTTTTTAATATAAAATAATCTTGCTTTATTCAGCAGATAATGTTTTGTTTATTAACCCCCAAATCAAGGATTTTATCTTTGTTCTCAGAGTCTGGGCATTTGTGAGTTCTTAATAGCAATTAATTAAATTTAAGAGGGAAATACTTTACATAAAAATAAGATTATAGCAATAGTAATACTACTACTTCTTATAACTTTTTTTTGCTCAGGAGAAAAAGATATTACTTGGGAAAGAGAGGGTCTGTGATAGAAACACTTTCTATCAGTGATTGCTGGCCTATGCATGAAGAAAGCTTGAAGGATCCCCTTCCAGTACTGGCTGGGCTACATAAGGGGAAGTAGGTGAGATAGTCAAAGACAATGACCTCTGAGGTTAAAGGTTGGAGTGTCGGCCACCAAACATAGGTAGGCAACAGGTCGACCTCCTTTTGCTGTTAGTGACCCATGACCACTAGCCCATGGCCATAGCACCTACAAACCTGGGCAAGTTTAATACTCCTCAATTACCGTCGCTGAAAGAGAACACCCTTTTGCACAACTCCAGAGCACTCTGATAACAAATGCAATTTAACTAAGCAGCTCATGTTTAAACTCTTATATGATAGAATTTAGGGCCTTTGGTCCCTGACAAAGATCTTCAAACTCAGTTAAGAAAAGTCTCAACTACTGAAAGGAAAAAAATGATAATTGAAAGTATAGATTAATCAGATATAAAAGATGTGACTACTAAGAAATGAAACTGATTTATTTTATCCAAGAGCAGAAAAATACCTTTAAAAGTAGTTACAAAGACACAAAAAAAAAAAAAAAAAAAAAAAAAAAAAAAAGTAGTTACAAAGAGAGATTCTATCCTTCCTTCATTTTTAAACTGTTTTTGGAACTCATCCTTAGACAATTTACTAAACACAGTCAATCAGCTTTATTCCTTAATAACCACAATTCTTTATTTTTAATTCCAGACAGTGGAATTCAGTCTGATCATAACTTCGTTTACCAGAACTGCCTCTGAATAACATGACTGGTACCAAAAATTAAACCCACCCTCAGTAATTAAATTATTTACCACTATTAAGAATACTTAGGGGCCGGCCCGGTGGCGCACTGCTACAGTGCGCTGCTTGGGAAGCGTGGCGGCGCTCCCGCCGAGGGTTCGGATCCCACATACAGACCGGCCGCTCACTGGCTGAGCGAGGAGCGGGGGCAACACCGAGGGTTGCGATCCCGTTGCCGGTCCTGGTCCGGTACGGGCGCGACACTGAGAGTTGCGATCCGTTGCCGGTCACAAAAAAAAAAAAAAAAAAAAAAGAATACTTAGAAAAATGTGCAAAGAAAGGCACAAGATTGCAAAAAAAGAATCTAAGCTATTTTTAATCATTAAAGGAAGGAAATGACAATACATCTTTCCAAGATGCCAACTTTAGAGTGAACACCTATTAGGGCATCTAAATTCTGCTCTTTGTTAAAAAATAATAATATGATTTCTTTCTAAATTTACAATCATACATTGAATACTAAAGAAAATCATTTTAACTTATCCATCTTTGTATGTGTTATGCCATTTATTGACGTTTCTCCTTTTTTCTTGCATCCTAAGTTAAGAAGCTAGTACAATCCTACACAAATCATCTCCTTAACCTGGTACCTTTAATTTCTTTTTCCCCACTACCTTCTTTTCTTCTTCTTTAAACATTAAAGAACTTGTATCCCCATCCTGAAATGATCTTTGACTTCATTTCCCTTACATTGTCCAATTTTTCTATTTCCTTTCACTGTCAGAATTCTTTAGTCTACATTTATAGCTTCTTGAGCCCGTCGCTGTTCCCAACCTGCCTCCTCTACTACTGATACTACACTGAAGTCCTTAAATCTCAGTATTCCTGGTTTTTTTTCTTTGTTCTTTTTTTTTTTTTGTCCTTTTTTTGAGACCGGCCGCACCGCGCTCAGCCAGTGAGCACTGTGACCACACCAATCATCCCTACATAGGATCCGAACCCGCGGCGGGAGCGCTGCCGCACCCCCAGCGCCGCACCCTCCCGAGTGCGCCACAGGCTCGGCCCATTCCTGGTTTTCTGATGGCTCATGAAACTATTGGCTGTTCTCTTTTTCTTGAAAATCTCTTCACCAGGATCTGCTCACCTGTTTCACCCACTGGGGAAGATCCTCTTGCTCTCTAATGGGTGACATTTCACAGGTTGTCCTTAGCATTTTCCCTTTTTCCTTCTTTCTTGCAGAAAACAAATGCACTCTCATAGTCTTAACTATATAATTAGGTGAAAGGCTCTTTCATCTGGTTTTTCAAGCCTAAAACTCTCATCTAAGCTCTACTTCGTCTAAAACTGTATCCTAAATATGGCCACTCATCTGTCCTAGCATAAACTGTTACATTTGGTCTCAAATGCTCTGGAGTTTAGCATCAGACCTTGTTCCTGCAGTCTTGCAACACTTAACCGCCATTCATTTTCTTCTTCTCGTCCTCTTTTGTCCACTTAGTCACCGAGTAATCTCAGTTACTTATTTAGAATGTCTCTTGTTTCTTCTTTTCCTTTCCCACAACACTGCCTAGGCCCTCAGTATTTCACAGGTCAGATTAATTTAATAACCTACTAACTGGTCTGTGTCATCATTCTAGTCTTCCTGAAAACCTCCTCATTTTCCTTCTCTGCTCAGAAGTAGAGAAGGGTACTTCCCAAGAATGAAATAGAGTCTAAATTTCTCAGATGTAACTGAAACTCTCCACACATGAGTCCTGTTTAACCTCATTTGTCAATCCTCCCCCAGAGGAGGGAAAGGAAAAGCTACCAGTGACCAAGAACCTACAGGAATCAAACAGATTCGCAGCCAGATGCTTTATATATGATACTCCACCTTCACAATGGCTTTGTGAAGTGGAAATAACTATCCCCATATACTGATGACTAAATACACATGGAATCTAGAAAGATCTTAGAGAAAATAATTGTAAGATTTAAAGTCAGCTTCTTAATAGCTCTTCTTTTATTTAAATAACAGCAATGTCATTTAAAAATAGCATTTTTACTTTCTATATTACCTTAACAACAGTAATAAGACAGGGCAAACACTCAGTAAAACCGTTTTGTTGATTAGAAAAAAAAAAAAAAAAAAAAAACTTCCAAGCCACTATCAGTGATTGAACTGTTGTATTTACTATGCCCTATTACTCATATGACAAAATTCATTAGGAATAAAGAATAGCACTTTTAATCACCACCTGCAAAGGAAATGAGACAAAAAGAGGCACTAAACCTTTCAAAGTCTCAATATCCTCAAATGTAAAATGGGGATAATAGAGTATCTACCTCATAGGTCAGGTTTAAACCAAAGTCCATAAATACAAAATGGTGATGTCTGGCACATGGTAGAGGCTCAAAAAATGATAGCTATTATTTTTTTATTATTTTGTTTTCAAATTAAAATTCAAAGTTCTCATAATTGGCAGAGTTTGAATTTCTCAATTTTTGTAAAAATCAAATATTGTAGTGACTCCAGTTGCTATCTATTTAACATTAATAGGTTACACAGAGCTATGATACATGATTGCAGCATATCTTGTGAAGGTGACAATACAGCTCTTCATGTGAATGGCACAGTTTTAACTTTCCTTCCCCTGAAATAAATATTTCAAAATGATTTCACAACCCATCATAACTATAATGTACAGTAAATACTGTTCATTAACATGATAATGGAAAATAAGAGTGTGTGTAAATGAAAAAAGTGAAGAAGAATACCAGGAGAGGTTGTATTCTGGTCACTGGAAAGGCTGACAGCTGAACTGGCAGAAGGAAACACACAGGTTTTCTGATTAGAATCATTTTCTTTTACTAAAAATACAGCTTCGGAAGTCTCCTCTTTGTCACTTTGATCTTCCTCATCCATATGAGTCAGAAAACACACTAATTCAGAAAACAGTAGGTAGACAAAAAAAAATCAAATGGAAAAGATGTAACAATTGCTAACACTTCCACGTGGCAACAGAGATATATTAGACATGGCAATACAGATATATTAGACGTTTTCAACATTTTATCTTGACAGCTTTCTACTGTATAATTAATTTAATATTAAATTTAAAATTAAAACTCTCCCATAGTAAAAGAACAATTAAATTTATTATCAACTTCATAAAACATGGCAGATTGAGCTAAACTGCACAAGCCCTTGTCCTGCTATAAAAACAGAAATGCTAAATTAAAAAAAAAAAAAGTTTAATACACAACCACTCTAAACAGAGAAATCTCTTGGTGCCAGAAAAGAAAGAACTCAAAGCTGGAGCAATAAGTGGACAATATTGCTGGGATAGTCCACAAAGGAATAGGAGATGTGGTGTCTGCAGATTGCAATGAAGGGAACTGAGCTACCTTCATAAGGCCTAAAGCACTTAAGGGTAGCTCTGTTAATAAAATGGAGATAAGAAAATCTGTGTTCTGGAGAAGCAGCAAAGAAGTTTTCTATCTACCCGGACAGTGGTTGGGAAAAAAATGAAAGTCAACTCAGAAATCAAAGTCCCTGGCTTGCCACAGCAGGTGTAAGGTCTGTATTTATGCTGTCTATGTAGCACAGCAACTCCAAACCAAGATATTTATATTAAAATTTGTCTCCCAATTTTTTTCTACTTCAGTGACAGCAAGAAGTGCAAAATCACTCTGAACACAAACATATACAGCCTAGAAGAACCCCCAATAAAGATAAGCCTATGAAAAAAAATTACAAATCACACAAAGGTACAACCAACCATGAGAGAGTTAGTACTCAGATTCAACAACTGAGAATGCACACACATTAAATAAAACAATCTGAAAGGATTAGTCATAAAATATGACTAAAATTATTAAATAGAGAAAGCATAGAAACCACAATAAAAGAACAGGACAGGATATCCAAAGAACAAATAGAACTGAAAAGGAAATAAGTAGAACTTTTAGATATTAAAAATGTAGTCACTGAAAATTAAAATCATAACAAATAGATGAAACAGTAAAGACACAACAGAAAAGAGAATTAGTAAACTAGAAAACAGACCTGAGGAAATCACCCTGAGTACACCACTGAGAGATAAAGAGGTTGAAATTATGAAGGACTGGTTAAAAAACATAGACAACAGCATGAGAAGGCCCAACATGCACCTAAAAGGTGTTTTATTTATTTATTTATTTTTTTCCTTTTTGTCTTTTTTTCGTGACCGGCAACGGATCGCAACCCTCAGTGTTGCGCCCGCACCTCGCTCAGCCAGTGAGCAGCCGGTCTGTATGTGGGATCCGAACCCTCGGCGGGAGCGCCCCGCCACGCTCCCAAGCGGCGCACTGTAGCAGTGCGCCACCGGGCCGGCCCTAACAGGTGTTTTAGAAGAGAAAAGAAAGAAAGGGGAGGAAGCAACACTACAAAAGATAACAGATAACAAATCCCCAATGTTTTTTTCATGTCCGGCAACAGATCGCAACCCTCAGTGTTGCGCCCGCACCTCGCTCAGCCAGTGAGCAGCCGGTCTGTATGTGGGATCCGACCCCTCGGCGGGAGCGCCCCGCCACGCTCCCAAGCGGCGCACTGTAGCAGTGCGCCACCGGGCCGGCCCTAACAGGTGTTTTAGAAGAGAAAAGAAAGAAAGGGGAGGAAGCAACACTACAAAAGATAACAGATAACAAATCCCCAATGTTAAATCTTCAAATTGAAGATTCCTATTCCAGTAGAAGATAAATAAAAAGAAATGCACACCTAGACACACATTATATTAAAAAAGCAAAATAAGTGAAAAATAAAGAGGAAAATTTTAAAGCAATCAGAGATAAAAGAAGAGCAATTAGACTGACAGCACACAGGTAGTGTAAACTCAGCAATTACAGATGACAGTAGGTAATGGAATAATATCTTTAAAATGCTGAGGGGAAAAAAATGATCATCTTAGAATTCTGTACTCAGCTGTAAGCTATCACGTAAGAATTCTAGAGAAACTAAAGCTATTTTCAAAGACTGGGAGAATTTACCACTCACAGACTCTAGATGAAAGAACTATTAAAGGAAGGAAGAAGGAGACTGAATGCTTAAAGAAGAAGTGGATGCAAGAAGCAACTGTGGACAACAATAGCAGAGAATGTCAAGTAGTAAGAGGTAGAAGTTATTTCATGAAACCTGTGTCTTGGTTTTACACATTGCTGCTTACATACTTACAATATTTAAATTATAAATTTAAAAAATAAGTAATTGTGGGCAAAGAAACTGACAAACATGTTGATAAATCTTAAATGAGCAATGACTATAACAAATAAAAGACAAGGGTGAATAAATAGGAGGCTTAAAAACACAGTAGATATAAGATGTTAGAAAACAGTATTAGAGAACATGGACAGAGCAGATCAGTGTTAAAAGCTCTAAAGTCCTTATACTGTTTGGGAGGTAGATATATTCACCTTAAATTTTAACTCAACTATGAGTGTTGAAAATTCAAGAAGAAACACTAAAAGATTTAAAATCAAATACAATTTTTGAACCAATAGACGGGGAAAGAGAGTCCAAAAAAGGGCAAGAAAGAGGGACAAAAAGTAAAGAAACACAAAAACCCATGGTAAATAGGAAACAAAAAATAAGATTTTAGAAATAAACACAAACATATCAGTAAACACAATAAATGCACACTGATTGTACTTACTGGTCAAAAAAATAGGTTGTCTATTTAAAGGAATGAAATCTAGTTACACGCTGTACTCAACTGCAATGTAATCACATGGCTTGAAAGTAAAGGGGTGTCCAATTTACAGGAAATACACAGGAGAGAGGAACACATTACATGACACCACAGAGACTCAATTAGCAAAATTTAGACTGAAAAACACTTCAGGACAAACATTCTGGTATTTTCAACAAATAAACTTCAAGGGGAAAAAAAGAGATAGAAGAGGAACCGAGAAGTTAAAAGAAACATATAAGCCATCAACCAATGGCCATATATAGACCTTACCTGGATTCTAACTAGAACAAGTAATTTTTTTAAATGAGAAAACTGGCGTCATTTGAACTCCGATTCAAATGACATAAAAAATGATATGAAAATATTAAGATTTTTTTAAAGGAGGGACAATATTCGTATGCCTATGAAAGGGACCTCATCTTTTAAAGATACATATACAATATTTATGGATAAAATAATGTGCTGTCTGGGTTTTGCTTCAAAATAATCCAGGAAGATGCGAGAAGAGTGGGTGGGTGTACAGATAATAAAGGACTGACCATGAGTTGAGAATTATTCAAGCTGGTTGTTGGGTACATAAAGGTTTATTATTCTACTCTGTGTTATATTGAAATACGTTAGAAATTTTCCATGATAAAAAAGAAAAAGTGACAATAAAGATATACCAAGCAAAAGAACAAAGGGGTAGTAATGTTAATATTAGATGAAATTGGCTATAATAATTCAAAAAGTCTTACTGAAGACAAAGAGGATGATTACTTAATGATAAAAGGAACAAAATTCAACAAAAAATATAATACTGAACTATACTCATCTTACAGCCTCAACTATACTAGACTTACAATAAAAAATAAACAATTTTAGAATCATTGTGGGCAATTTCTAACTCACCGTTGAAACACAGATCAAGCAGACTAAAGAATCAGAAAGAATAGAGAAAATCCAGACAATATAATTTAGAAACTTGACTAAATGGAGATATACATATACATACCCTACATACAACCAAAAGAAAATGTTTATTCTCTTCAAATGCATGTAGAACATTTACAAAAATTCACTCTATATACTAGGCCACCAAGGAAATTTTAACAAATATCTGAAAATTAATATCATACATTTTATTTAATCACAATACAATGAAAATGGACATCAACCACAAAAACAGAGTCCAAACTCTTTAATATTAGAAGCTAAAAACTCCTTTTATGAGCTAAAGAAAGTGTAATACAAATTATATAAACTATGAAGACCTGAACACCACCAGGTGATGGTACATATCAACACTCTGTCTAGGTCTGTGCAGGAACATGTTCAGCCTCAAATGCATATTAGAAAACAAGAAAGAATGAAGTTGGGAAAAAACAAGTTATTCCCTCCCAAAATAGAATAATAAAAGAACAGAAACTGATGAAAAAGAAAATTAAGAAACAACAGAAAGAACCAACCAAAGCCTAGTTTTTTGAAAAGACTAAACCACTGACAAGACTGAATGAGAAAGAGAATGCAGATATAAACTATAGACACAGCAGAAAGTGAAAACATAACTACCTTCATTTCACTCTTTCAAATAAGAAACGAGAAAACTTAATACCTCACCACTGCTGGGCCGTTTCATCAGAACCTCAAATTGCAGATGACCACAGACAAACAGCAACCTCAACACAAAGCTCTCTGCAATTCTCAGCAGTGTGTGCCCAATGGCCTGGAATCCACAGAAACTAACATCCAGGCCACATCGCCCCCAATCTGGTATAAAAGTTAGAGGAAGTTATTGGCTTCTCAGAAGAAAATGGCCTTGTGGTGGGAGCTAATTACATTATTACAAATATAATCCTAATCTAGAAATTGAGGAGCTGATTGCTTCAGCTCACATATGAAAACTATTCCTAGTTCTGGAACTCCAAAAAGCTAATTATTCACTCAGGTCAACCACAGCAAAGCTTCAGACCCAGCCACTGCAACAGGCCCCGCCACAAACCTTCTTCAGAAATTCTAATTGTTTTTGGACATAGTATTTTTTCAAATTCAGGGCCAGAAGACAATTCAATGTGATCCACTGGTTCAACCTGTACAAAAACACAGGGAAGCAACTGTTATAAATTTTATACTTTGATAATTTAAAAATATCATAAACAATTTTATGTAAATTTTAAACATTTGCATTAATGAAATGAAATGAAAAAATGAAAGAAATGTGATTGAATCCAATATGAGCTAGGGATCAATAAAGAAGAGGATATTTTTACTTACTTGTAGTTTAACTGATTTAACCTTTTAAGAGGTACAGGAAAATAGTGTGATATAATTTTATAATGGGGAGGAACCTTAACTACCATCTAGACAAAACCTTTTAAAGATGAGGGAACAAGGCTGAGAGAGATTCAGTGACTTTCTCAGTGGCAGAACATGGATTTTAACACAGATATCCAAAGCTTCTAGGTTAGTGCTTGTCCACAGCATCCCTCTGCCTCTTCTAGGCCTACAGCTGTTTCCTTAACTCAGGCAAATGTTATATATTTACATATAAACATTTATATTTGTGTGTACATTATAATAGGGAAACTGTACCAAACCTATCATTTAAATTAATGATATGTCCTTCAAAATAGTCTTCTTGGAAGACTAAATACTTATGAACTTTGAGCAAATACTTTTAGAACTCTTCCTTTGAAGTTGTCTCCCAAACCTGTGCTACAATTATTTATAACCACTCTACTGGTAAATCTTTAGTTATATAAGTGTAACTTTATTACTTAGAATCCAAAAATAAGAGAGCAAATGTGACCATTAAACAAGCAAAAGACATAGTTCAGACCTTCCAGTCCTAAAAGGCTTGGGCTGAAAGGGGAGCTCTATCAGAAATTTCGGGAACTTTTTCAAAATGCCAACCCACCTCTGCCTCTCCCACAGATTCAGTAAGGCTAGCAAACATATTTTGAAACAAGTATCCAGGGTGATCTTGACATGCGCAGCCATCAAATTGTCTAATGGACCCAAATCTTTGGAAATTCCTTCTTGAAACTGCTCCTAGCTAGCTTTCTCCTGAGTCTCTTACTACCTCAGACTGTTTGTTTTGAAGCCTTGTTTTTGAATCCTCCCTCGTCCTTAAAAGCAGTGTACCCACAGGATTCTCTCCCTTACCCTCTTCTTTTTTGACTCTATGTGCTCTCTTTGGGTGACTGCCTGCCTGTGCTATTATGATTTCAACCTCCTCCAAACAGATGACTCCAAAATTTGTACCTCCAGCTCAAACCTACCTCAGAAGCATAAAAGGGTACCTTAAGAAGTTCCTAGAAAGATGTGTACTACCAAAATTAATACGTCCCTGATAGAAACCATTGTGCACCCCTCCCCCAGCATGCACGCACACACACACACTTCCTCTTCTTTAGTTTGGAAATGGCTCCACCACTTACCCAGGCTGAAATCTGGATACCACTGTAAATACCTGTTGTCTTCTTCACCTTCCCAGAGCCTATCAATCTCTAAGTCCCATTATATTCTCTCCATTCCTACTGCTAAAGTTCAGGTATACTTGTATTATTCTTTCTTGCTATGGGTACTCAGTGGATCTCAAACACCCATCAGCAGACTTTGTATAGAGCTAGCAGCACAAGAGTAATTTATGATGCTTGTTAATAATACAGATTCCTTAAAACCAGAATACAGACCTACTTAAAACCAGAATCTCAGGGAAATGGGGCCCAGGAGTTTGCATTTTTAACAAGTTTCCAAGATGATTCTAATGAGCAGAAATGTTTGGAACCACTGTGACCCAACTGGTCTCTCTGTTCCCAGTCTTATCCTTTTCAATCTACCCTCTACACTACTGCCAGCATGTCTGATCATATCACTTCACAGCTTAAAATTCTTCAATGGTTTCTGCTGTCGACTGAATGTCCTCCCAAAACTCACCGAAGTTTGACCCCCATTGTAATAGTGTTAAGAGGGTGGGAAATCCACTTATGGTACCTGAAAGGTGATTAAGAAGTGATTGGATGGTGAGGACCATGCTCTCGTGAATGGATTAATCCATTCACGGAATAAAGCATTAATGGTTTAATGGGTTATCAGGGAGTGGTTCGGATGGCTTAAGGAAAGCAAGTGAGCACATTAACTCTCTTGCTCATGTTATGCTTGCCACGTAATACCCTGTGTTGCCATGGGACTCTGCAGGGGTTTCCCACCAAGAAGAAGGCCCTCACCAGATGTGCCCCCCTGGATCATGGACTTCTCAGCCTCCAAAACTGTCAGAAATAAATTTCATTTCTTTATACATTACCCAGTTTCAGGTATTCTGTTACAAGCAACAGAAAATGGACTAATACAGTTCCCTACTGCCTGCTTATAGGATAAAATCCCAATCACTTGACATAGCAAACAATGCTTTCCATCCCTCCCTATCTACCCACTACCTAATTCTACTGCCAGATGTCTTAGAGCCCAGTCCCAAACTTCTATCTCCAAGTGATGCTGATATGGTTCCACAAACACTCTCTGCCATTTGGTACCTTTCTGTTTTTGCTCACAATATTTCATCAACCCTTGCTTGTATAACTGATGAATAGCAATTCATTACCAGTTCAAGTCACCTCTACAAAGCCTTCTCTGATGCCACAGCTTCACTTACCTGTCTAGTCACAACAGGTCAGGTGTATTATGTGTCCTCACTGCACCCAGTACATATATATTTCTTGGTGTATACATCCACCTTCTTTTATTAGATTTTAAGCTCCATGAAAATAAGTACTATACCTTATTTATCTTTCTATCCCCAGAATGTAGCACAGAACCTAGCAGGTAGTAAATGCTCAACAAATTTTTATTGAAGGAATGATTATTCATGGACTTTTGTGGGAGTAAGCAAAATAGGATCAAGACTATATTCAAGTATAAGTAAAGTATTGCTTACTAAACTAGCTCAGAAAAAAAGAGATTCTTTGAAGTAAGGAGTTCCAAGGACTACTTTGATGCTCAACATTCATTTGGATGTGGTAGATCGAAGTCTGTAACTTTGTTAAAAAACAAAAAGCAAAACAACCAAATAAACACCATAATATCAGCACTTAATAGTAGTCCTGCCTCCTATTCTTTCAACGTAGTTTCACATATGCTTAATCTTAACTTTTTAATATGTGTGAAATGCTTGGATTAAAGAAATATTATAAACCTAATAAATACATTTTTAAAAAATGACAATATGCTAAAAATCTGGAATATCTAATATTGTTAGGTAAGTCAATGATGAAATTCTTATCCTGCAGACTAATTTGCATTTCCCAGTATTAGACTTTAAAACATTTAACATATTTTTATTACTTGTTCTTTAACCCTTATTATATGAATTTTTCTTCATTAAAAAAAAAGTACAAGATGTTTGAGCAAAATAATTAATTTTTGAGAATTTCTTGCTATTTTATCTTACTACCATTATACATAAACTTATTATGAATATTTTTAAAGATACAGAAGATTTCTAAAGAACTGATTATTAGTCCTCTTACATAAAATATTTAAAAGAAACTGAGAATTCCAAATGTAACAACAATATTTGTAAGGTTACAAAAATCTTTCAGAAGAAAATGATAATTATAAGCAGGATTTCTTTAAAACCACATTCTGGTTTTGTAATTTATATACAAGGGTACTTCAAGAAGTTCATGAAAAGATTCATATTATCTTCTAATTCTATTTTTCCACGAACTTTTTGAAGTACCTTCATATTTGTTTTCCTGGTAGGAAGCATGGGTTCACATCTAAAAGCTTAAGGCAGTGGTTCTCAACTGAGGATAATTTTGGCCTTCAGGAGCCATTTAGCAATGTCTGGAGACATTTTTGATCATTACAACTCGGGGGAGTGCTGCTGGCACGTAGTGGGTAAAGACCAGGGATGCTGCCAAATACCCTACAATGCATGGGGCAGCACCCCAAAACAAAGAATTATCTTGCCCAAATGTCAACAATGCTAAGAATAGAAAACATAGCTTTAAGAAAGTAAATTTCAGGTGTCTAAATTTATACCACCTATAAATCTAATAATTTGGTTATAAACAAAAAATAAGAATAAAGACAGTCTACCTTATCATGATGTAGATCTAGCATTTCAGGTCTGGGGAAATCCTGCTCTATGTTTTCAGCAACGTTCTGTATTGCTAAGAGCTGTTCATCAATTTTCTGAAGCTTAGAGGTGAGATGCTCTAATCGGCGAGCTGCAGGGCTTGGTGCAGTGCAAGCTGCAGAGACATCCTGCAGCAGTTTCCATAACACATAATCTTCTGCAGAGTCTGTCTTTGTGCTCTGTTCTTTGAACTGAAACTCTAGTTTTAGCAGATCTACATATTAATAAAAGTAAAACCAGAATTAATTATAATTAAGGACGAGGTAGATATTAATAATCTTTTTTTTGATGATTTCATTTTAATTCAATGTAACATTACTTTCAAAATCAGTTTTAATTTAATATACTTAGAAACTCCATTTTATTTTCCTTACTTCAGAGATTTGTCTTTGTTGTGAGATAATATATAACAACATTACTACTACAAAGCTCCACCTCCAAGGCAGTCTGAATGTTAATTTCATCCCCTGCTACAAACATATATTTCATCAAAAAGCAACTTTAATATTTTTATGACTTTCTGAAACTCTACTTGAAAACCAACAACATCACACAGTAAGAGCTAGATCCAATGTTGGCTATTACTGACTCTATGTTTGATCTCAGGCAAACATTAAGCATCCTAAGATCACAATCAAAGCCAATGTCTCTTCTTACTCAAACTCAGATGATCTTGTCCCAAATTTGAGACACCTTGTTTTTTAAATGTACTCTTCTTCTGGTGTCTGGGTCTCCTCCTCCCTTATGTATTATGCACACATAATCTTCCTCTGCCTACCCCTCCTGCTTGATGTCTTGCTATTTCTTTAAATAAATGAACAAAAATCACTCTATTTGGCTCCAAGCAGACTGAACAGCAATCTTCTCAAAGTCAGCAAGCTCCACCAAACCTCTGAGTCGTTGCACAGTCTACTCTCTTAGCCTGAATGTTCTCTCACTAAATCCTACTTTCCTATAAAATTCCATTTACGCATCTCCCCTACATGGCCCCAATCCTCCCCCAACACAGATTAGATGCTGTATTATCCAAGAATTTCATCCACACCACCATCGCAGCCCTTACTAAATTGTATCATAATCATCTCTTTGTCTTTCTTTCCCCCTACAGGTATGCCCATAGGCTGAGAGCCTGGTATTCCTCTCTGCCTTCATCCCTATATCTGGTTCCTAGCTTAGTGTGTATTAAATGAAGAGTCAGGCAAATGAAGATTTTGATGCCTGCCCTAACTCACAGAAGTATTGTGAAAATTAAATTACATGACAAAGTGCTCTGAAAATGTGAATTACTAAACAAATATAAACAGTGCTCGTAATATTTCAGTCCCAGTCTAAGGAGATCCTTCCCATGAAAAGAAAATAAATGCCAATGTTGGCAGTTATATCACCATACCATACCTGTTTTGGCCCTACTTTTTCTTTTTGGGAGGTGGGGGGCCGCTGGCTGGTACGGGAATTGAACCCTTGACTGTGGTGTTATAACACTATGCTCCAATCAGCTGTGTTAACCAGCCGGCCCAGCCCTACCTTTTTTTTTTTTTTTTTTTTTTTTTTTTTTTTTTTTTTTCGTGTCCGGCAACGGATCACAACCCTCAGTGTCGCGCCCGTACCGGACCGGGACCGGCAATGGGATCGCAACCCTCGGTGTTGCGCCCGCACCTCGCTCAGCCAGTGAGCGGGAACCGGTCTGTATGTGGGATCCGAACCCTCGGTGGGAGCGCCACCGCGCTCCCAAGCGGCGCACTGTAGCAGTGCGCCACCGGGCCGGCCCGTAGCCCTACCTTTTTTAACTTGCTCTCACAGTACACTACCATCTATCTATCCTTCCTGTTTCTCAGCAGCCTGGTTATCTCCCTTAATCACTCTCATGAAGAAATTTGGTGCACACAGACTTTAAACAGAAAACACAGCAAAAGAGATGGACATGGTCAAAATTCGTAATGGCCTCGATGCATAATGAAGCTAGCTTCCCTTTCTCTGGAGAACTTGCTCTACTTGTACTGACTAAAAGAAAATTACTCAGCCAGGAGGGTTAAGTACAGAGATTCACTGACCCTGCAATGCTCTTCCTAGGCCCAGCAAAACTCTGTTTGCTATTACTGGTGCTATTCCTAACAGGAGATGGTTTCTAAAATAAGAAGCTACTGTCATTCAAAATAGTGAGGTCTCATTAAAACAGGAATTTACGGTTTCTTTTGTTTTTTCTTTTAAATACCTAAGGACCCTGTCCCTCCCTTCTCCCAGCCTTTTCCGGTAATGCAAATCTCACTCAACTCTAAATGTGGGACTATATTTTGAATGTTTATATTATTTAAATATCACGTCAGAATTTAATTTCGAAATATAAAACTTTTCCTTTTAAATTGGCACTTTCAAGTACTTCTCTTTAATAAGAGTAGAAGAATCCCACTTGATATGGTGAATGATCTTTTAAGTGTGTTGTTGGATTCAGCTCATCAGTATTTTGTTGAAGATTTTCTCATCTATATTCATTAGGGATATTGGTCTGTAGTTTTCTTTTTTTGTTGTGTCTTCGTCCAACTTTGGTAGGAGGGTTATGTTGGCCTGTAGAATGAGTTTGGAAGCATTCGGAGGGAGGATGTTTGAAGTTAGCAGTCTTTCAGGGTGTGGAAGCATGTGGGGAAGTGAAAAGTGCTTTTAGATTCAAAGAGAACAGAACTGGGTTTCGGTCCCAGCTCTGTCACTCAATAGCTTGGTGACTTTTTACAAATAAATTAACTTTATTTGATCCTTACTTGTATGTTTGTGGGACTGAACCTCATAGAGTTGTCATGAAGTACATCTAGCCAAGTGCCTTTGGCTACTTAGGTGCCCTGTTAGTTTCAATTAACTTTTTTTTGGCAGCTGGCCAGTAAGGGGATCCAAATCATGATCTTAGTGCTACCAGCACCATGCTCTCACAAGTGAGCTAACCACCCATCCCCACCCTTCATTTTTATCCCAATCAACTTTTGAAATTCTGGCAAACTGGAAGCAGACCCATCTCCCTGTGACCCCTGAGTATCTTAGGCATTTCAAATGACCATAAGCTACAGGTTAATTTTCCTTATCAATGACCATAAGCTACGAGTTAATTTTCTTTACAAATGAGATCAGGACTATAACCAACCTTTTAGAGAATCCTACCTTGTGGAGTTTTCCATTATGGAAAACAGTATGAAGATTCCTCAAAAAAACTAGAAACAGAACTACCTTATGACCCAGCAATCCCACTGCTAGGTATACACTCAAAGAAAATGAAATCAATATATCAAAGAGATACCTGCACTCCCATGTTCATTGCAGAACTATAGCCAAGAGACAGAATCAACCTAAGTGTCCACCAACAGATGAATGGACTTAAAAAATGTGGTATACATACACAACGGAATACTATTCAGCTATAAAAACAATGAAATCCTGTCATTTGCAGCAATGTGGATGGAACTGGAGACCATGTTACATGATGTAAGTCAGGCACAGAAAGACAAATACTGCATAATCTCATTCATACGTAGAATCCAAAAAAGAAAAAAAAGTGGCCAGAAAAAGAAAAAAAGTGGTTCCTGTAGAAGTAGAGAGTACAATAATGGTTACCAGAGGCTGGGAAAGAAAGGGAGGCAGGGAAGGAGGTGAAGAGAAGAGGTATATTAACAGGTACAAAGCTATAGGAAGACAGGAAGAATAAGTTCTGGTGTTGTAGGCTGACTAGTGCTAATAATATTATATTGTACATTTCTCAATAGCTAGAAAAGAGGATCTTGATGGTAATCACCACAAAGAAAAGATAAAAAGATGTGTTTTCTACCCAAAGTGAAATCATTGTACAATATATGCATGTATCAAAACAACACAGTGTACCCCACAAATAGGCACAATTAAAAACAATCCTCCCTCCACTACCCATGTACCCTAGCAACCCCATGAGGAGAGAGAGAGGGCAAAGGCTTCACAGTCTAAAATGCTGCACTTGTTTGTATATGCAACTTTAATACACATGCCCTGACCTGTCTTACCATGCAGTTTCGTGCCACCCATCCCTTCCTTGCTCCTCAAATCTCCTGAGCGCCCACTGTAAATACACAACGAACAGGCAGAGCCAGGTTCTGCATCCAAGCATCTCACAATCATAAGGCTGGGTCCACACCTCCCAACAGTGTAAAACACAGAAGACACACAATGTCTCTGTTGCAGAAAGTCTGACTGTATATTGGATTAATCTAAACATTCACAGGATGCAATAACTTTAGTTTGTTGGGAAATATTCTTCTAAATCTTGCTAAAATTTACCATAAAACAACCTGATTTATGATAATAAAACTGAGTACCTTACAAGTACTGTTAGCTACCATGACTGTGTATTGTCCATGTGCTATTCTACAATTTCTGACCTTTTTAAATATGAGAATTCATTTTTAACATCAAAACACTCATGAACTCCCACAGGATATTTATTTTTACCCCCATTAATTGAGAAAATACACATGCACAAATAGACTTGTAGTCTTCCTGTAAAATATCCATGGATCCCAGCTTTGGAACCATGGATCTATCTTATTTGCCTACCTGCCGCCACTCTCCTTAGCAAGGGACAAGCCTTTTCCTGGTGTCTTTTGCAATTATCAAGTTTCAGTGCTTGTTTCTTTTTTTTTTTCCTTTTTGTCTTTTTTTTTTTTTACTGACCGGTAACGGGATCGCAACCCTCGGTGTCGCACCCACACCGCGCTCAGCCAGTGAGCCGGAACCGGTCTCCACATGGGATCCGAACCCTCGGCGGGAGCGCTGCCACGCTCCCAAGCGGCGCACTCTCCAGTGCACCACCGGGCCGGCCCTTCAGTGCTTGTTTCTAATACAACAATAGTTTAGGGGAGGGGAAGGATCATGCTATATTTCTTAGCCATTCACCTTTATCCTGCTGTATGTCTGATGGTGTAGGTGAGGTAATACCAGGCTCCTTTATTTCTGTAATGCCTGCTCTCCAGCTTTTTCCATCCAGACAGGCTGGAGTCACTTCTACAGGTTTAGAAAACAAATCCAGAGCAGAATTGGCAGATTCTATCAAGAATGAAAGGCACACAAAGATTGATTCTAAACTTCTAAGCAAGGTAATTAGATCGTTTCTAAATGTGAATGAATGTAAACATCCAAAACTACAGGGGGTTTGTAGGAGGAGAGCAAACGGACGTGAGTAGGGACAACAAGGCTATATTGAAGAATTCTTCAAAATGTATTTAATTTATTTAAGAAGTAGAAAAAAGTTATTACCTTTACTCTTAAAATTGTGTTGGGGAATAGCGTGAGTAACTGAAGCTGCCATATAATGCAACTCTGCAGACGATGGGACTTCTAGATGATCGCTTTGATGCTCGATAATGCTATCATTTGAAGGCTCCTCTCTGACAGGTAATTCCTGAAGAAGATCATCAGCTTCAATGTCAGTCACTTTTATATAAGTGTGTCCAACCTGAGCCAAAACATGTAAAATCAAAGAGGGTTACATTCTTTTTACTCTATATGGATACTCTGCCAAAAAAAAATGGCTTAATTCTTCATTCTTATTAAAACAATCCAAGAAGAGCTTGTATGAGCCTAACTTAGGGAAAGCTGCAGCAAGTATGTGTTATTGGTCTCAGCTTACAATATTTGGGGCCATAAGACGTCAATTAATTTTTTGACCTTCCTACAAAGACACATGGATGAGATTTTTAACCTCATTTCACCTATGCAGTTGAATAATGTCTGGATGATTCTAATACATTTTAGCACAAAGATATTGTTAAAACTTCTGAATAAAACACAAAGCGAATTTGTTACCATATGAGGTGAAGGAGACAAAGATTTCTCTGATATTCCAGTGGAAAGTCTGAGATTTAGATGCACATCTGGAACCAACAGCTGAGGAACATTTAGAGGTTCATGTTCTGAAAATTAAGAAAAGAAAAATCAGGAATATAAAAAATGTTCGTAGGCGGGTCAGAGTGCAGCGCTGTTTACAACTAGTTGATCACAAGCAGTTACAGATTTCATTGTTCCTTCTCCACTCCCACTGCTTCACTTGGCTGGCCTTAAAACAATAATAATAAAATTAAGAAAAAAATTTTAAATATCTGTAAATAGCTCTATATCATTAACTTTGTAAGAACAAGTTAGCAACAAACAACATAAGATGTATTTCTTGAAAATCTAAGTAGAAGCTTCATGGGTATAAATTAAAGAAAATCCTATTCTATTCTAAGGGCAATTTACTATAGGGTAATTCATAATTGAATGCAGACTGACTATTGCATGAATGATTCACAAGAACAATAAAGAACCTAAAGTATGTCAAAAAATGCTATAATTTCCTATTTCCATTTCAGATATATTACGTCATGTTTGTCTACTTAGGAGAATTTCAATAAAGCCATATTTTAGGAAATTAACGTATAACTTTTTTTACTTTCAATGGTTTCTTGTTATTTATTTATGGTTATTAACAGTTTCACTGAGATATAATTCACATTCTTTAAAAGGGTACTATTCAGTGGTTTTTGGTATATTCACAGAGCCCACAGCTGAATTTTACCACTTAAAATGTTTCAACATCTACATTTCATAGAAGTCATTTACTTGTTATTCAACAGTAAAATAAACAGGCCTGTCATAGTAGGTCAGCAGACAGTTTAACTCTGTGTCTTTTGTTCTAGGACTCTAATTTTATTTTCTGGTGTTTACTTTTTTTTTTTTTCCTTTTCGTCTTTTTTCGTGTCCGGCAACGGATCGCAACCCTCAGTGTCGCGCCCGCACCGGACCGGGACCGGCAACGGGATCGCAACCCTCGGTGTTGCTCCCACACCTCGCTCAGCCAGTGAGTGGCAACCGGTCTGTATGTGGGATCCTAACCCTCGGCGGGAGTGCCACCGCGCTCCCAAGCGGCGCACTGTAGCAGTGCGCCACCGGGCCGGCCCCCTGGTGTTTACTTTTTTAATTTTTTAATTTTTTACTTTTTCTGGCAGCTGGCTGGTATAGGAATCAAACCCAGGACGCTGGTGTTATTAGCACCACTCTCTAACCAACTGAACTAACTGGCCAGCCCCATTTTATTTTTATTACAGCATTACTTTCAAATTTCATATGCAAAGTATAACTCACTGTCATATTCAATACTAAAAACTTGCTACTAAGGCTTACTTTAAACCACAAAATAACCAAAAATCTAGAAAAAAGGAAAACGAAAATATTTCAATTTTAATTCTATCTCTGTTAAGTCAATTCACTGACTTAACTGCTTTTTTTTGTGTGGGTGATGGTGACCAGCTTTGGCATCCTGCATACATAATCTTCAGTAAGTCAAACTTTTTAGTAAATGAAACCTTTTTTTCAGAAAAAAAAGAAAGAAATCATACCTGATGTGGAAGAAGTGATTTGTTCATTCTTCCCATGTTCAGAAGCAATTTCTTGGGAAGCAGATTCCTTATCTTGTAGTAAATTAGAGGATTTGAGGAAAACAAACAAACAAAAATTTCACAAACAGAAGAAAAAACTAAATATATGAATGCAGATAATTAGATATTGTGCATAAAAGGTGGTAGAAAAGTAGACTGGCAATTTAACTTTTAAATAATATAATTTCAGTTTTTATTTTTTCTATCCTGGGCCTTCCTCTGGATGAATAACAGACTCCTAGCAAATAGCCTGCCAACAGCAGCAGTAGCAGCAAAGGCAAAGTACCTCCCAGGCTTTATCAAAGACATGCTCAAATAAAGAACATTTAAGAATATTTCTCAAATGCACACTCATCATTTACAGCAAAAAAAATTTACACATGCTCAATCTCATTCAGAAACACAAATTAAAATAATGACTTTCAAAGTTAAAAAGGTTAGCTAAACCACAGTAATGACAAAAAAAGGTTCTTATGAAGGAAGATACTCACTGAATCATTATTTATAGGAGAAAAAAACTGGAAACTACCTAATGCATCCAACAGTAAAAAATTAGTTAAATATTTTATGGTACAGCTAGAAGAAGGAATATGCTAACACTACTTTTTTGATGACACTGAAATGTTTGGCATAAGTAGAAAGCAAAGTGAAATGAAAAGCACGCAAAATACAGGTATCCTTGTCATACAAATCTAATCTACTTCTGAAAATATGTTGGATAGATGAATTTTCAGAAACCAGGAGACGTTATCGCATTATTTAAAGTGAGGGGAAAAAAAGGCGGCCCAGCCCATCCAATTTTTCCAAACATCATTAAACAATTCTTTTTTTTTTTTTTTGTCCTTTTTGAGACCGGCCACACCGCGCTCAGCCAGTGAGCACTGTGAGCACACTGGTCATCCCTATACAGGATCCGAACCCGTGGCGGGAGCTCTGCTGTGCTCCCAGAGCCGCACTCGGGGCTCAGCCCTAAACAATTCTTAAATACCTAAATAACAACCCATCAAGGATTACTATATAATATAAAGCATTTTAAAATCACTTCCTACTATTCATTTAATTCATTAGTTTGCATGCAATAATATATCAGATAGGAACTATCTTCAACACTCCAGCAAACATGTACTATGATGCAAAAAACCAATGAAATATGTTAAAGATACACTCTAATTTGCAAACATCCCAAGGTAACTGGAAAAAAAAAATAATGCTCGGATCCATTAAACTCTCAGGAAAAGCCAGGGAAGATAGCAATAAAATCTGATGATGAGAGTTCAAATAGTAAAGGAGGACAACTATACTATAAACGGTGTCTAAGACTGAAAGAAAAAAACAATATCAAAATGTTATGAAGTAGTATAATTATGGTTAATTTTGATCTTCTTCATAGCTTGCTAGATTATCCAAATATTCTACAATGATCATATATTATTTTTAAAATAATACTAATAAATATTATTTTATAATAAGATAAAGTTAGAGAGGGTTAGAAAACCATTTACAAGGTTCTGTATATAGTCAAAAGAAACTGTTTACTAAAAATCATAGAAAAGAATTACTATGACACAATGGGCAGAGCACCATAATTAGTCACATTAATGAGAAAGTCTGTCATGCAACATTACAAATAATAGATCCTCCAACACTTATTTCTTCTACTCTTGGACAACACGGTTAAATACCCCTCCCGTGCTAAACCTAACCCTGTCCTCTTCCTAGCTCAACTTTACTAGCCACAGCCCCAGACCTCTCAAGCTTAGGCAATTCCAGCAAAGGCAATTAACAACACAGAGAATCCAAATTCAAAACATTATTTCTGCTAACTTAGGATGTAGTCCATGGCAGTTTTGAACAAAAGTATCTATTATATTTTACATAAGTTACCATAAATTCAATTTCTAAAGTATATACCAGAGTTAGGGAGAAGAATGTGGGATGAGTAACTAACGAGTAACTAATATCACTAATGAAAAATTCCCTTTAAATCATCTCCTTCAAGAAAAAGTCTAGATATCTTAAATATGTCAAAATATATGAATTTTTTTTAAAAGAAAAATAGCATTTTACCTGGGTCTGTATTTGTACTTGCATCTTGACTTCCTTTAGCCTTCTTTCTTACAGAGGCCATGAAATGCAATCCAGCTGAAGTATTCACATCATCTTGTAGCATTTCTTAAACAAAACATTGGAACAATCATTGAGAAGCCAACATATTACTATGAGCCCAGAAGCACAGTTACCTTACTCAAGGCAGGTAAAGTATAGGGTGCTAGGATATTATCAAAATGGACCTTCGGAATGGAGTACTGTGTAAGTTGAACCTCAAAGACATGGTGGAATCAAAACCAAAATTGTGGAGGGCTCTGTTATTTTCAGCCTAGAAACCTAGATATTCTTCTAGCTAATAATGATCCAGTAGAAGCTGTTAAGCTGGTAAGTGATATGGTCAGTTTGAAATTCTAGAAAAAACATCCCCTCTAGCGTGTGGAAAAGTGACTTGAGTGGATAAAATTGAAATTAGGCAATCAGTTAGATGAGGCTGCTATAGTGATTTAAGTAAGTATCTAGTAATGGTGAGGAATGAAAGACAGGATAAATTTAAGAATTACAAAGGAGGTAAAATAAGCAAGAATTGGTTACTGACTGGATGAGAAAGGGAGGGAAAAGGCAGAATTCAGAATAACATGTGTTTTGGAGCTAGGTTGGTACTAACACAAATGAAGATAGAGAACACAGGAGAAAAATCAGTTGGGGCATGTGAGACAATGAATTCAGACCTCACATACTGTACTTGAGGTAATTTCTAACCAAGTGGCAAAGTTCAGCAGGAAATAGAATCAAAGTCCAAGTCTATTATGAGAGTTTGAGTTCAGATGTAGATTTTCCTGGGAGTTCACCCAGGGAGACTAGGTACAATGAGAAAGCATCAATTATAGCAGCACAATAAAAATATATTTGGTCCCAAGGTCCCAGCACAGTTCCTTAGACCTGGAATCTCCCGAGTGAAAGTGTCTTCTGTTATTCATAATGAGCCCCTTTTGGTCATACCTGAGTTTATGCTAATGAGGTAACTCTTGGCAGGCCCCTAGGATAGCTTTAGGATGGGGACTGGCCACCAGTGGAATCAACAAAATGGACTACAGGGTTAAAACTATCAACTGTCTACCCACCCATCCTACCCGCCCTTCTCTGGGGAAGGGACCGGTCTAAAGATTGAGTTAAATCACAATGGACAATGACTTAATCAATAACAGCTATGTACTCAAACTTCAACAAAAATTCTGAAAACAAATAGGATAAGGGGGCTTCTAGGCTGGTGAATATACAGATGTGTTAGGAGAGTGGCCTGCCCAGAGGAGCTGCACACCCACCCCTGCCCTATGCACCTCTTCTACCTGGCTGTTCCTGAGTTGTATCCTTTATAATTAAACTGTAATCATAAATAAAGTGTTTTTCCAAGGTCTGTGAGTCATTCCAGTGAATTACTGAACCTGAGTGGGGAGAGGGATCAAAGGAACCCCCAATTTGTAGACAGCCAAACAAATGCATGTAGCCTGGGTACTGTTTGCGGCTACAGTCTAAGCAGAACAGTTTTGTGTGACTGAGCCCTGAACCTCTGGAATCAGCTAATTCCAGGTAATTACTGTCAGAATCGAGTTGAACTGTAGGACATCCAGTTAGTGTTAGAGAATTGGAGTGTTGTTTGGAATGATTTAACACACACCACTGGAATACTATGCAGTCATTAAAAATAACATTATAGAAACTATCTAGTGGGCCGGCCTGGTGGCGCACTGCTACAGTGCGCTGCTTGGGAGCGCAGCGGCGCTCCCGCCGAGGGTTCGGATCCCACATACAGACCGGTTCCCGCTCACTGGCTGAGCGAGGTGCGGGCGCAGCACCGAGGTTTGCGATCCCGTTGCCGGTCCCGGTCTGGTACGGGCGCGACACTGAGGGTTGCGATCTGTTGCCAGACACGAAAAAAGACAAAAAGGAAAAAAAAAAAAAAAAGAAACTATCTACCTTAATACTAGTATGTGAACACAAGTAAGTTATAAACAAATACAGGAGATAATTACTTTTATTTTATGAATATCCCTACATATATACATTTGCAAATACATATACATATGTGTAGAGACATTCATAAAACAAAGCCTGAAAGAATATTAACACTAGTTATCTCTGGGTAAAAAGATGATGGGAGATTTTAATATTTTTCTTTTTCCCTATTCTTATTTTCTAAATTTTCTCCAATAGTATGTATTACTTTTACAAAGTGAAAAAATAAATTATTAAGAGTGAAAAAGAAAGTGGTTTTAAGACAAGTGAGCAGGAAAGGAGAATACCAGATGATTGAGGAAGCTGAGAGACTGAAGCTAAGCAGGTCAGTTAGGAAATGGCTACTGGCTTAGGTGAACAGTGTCCTGATTCAGGGAAGTAGCATGGAGGAAGGGAGCAAGGATCAGGGTGAGGACTAAGTGAGTGCAGGGGAATAGAAATGAGGGATAAATCAAGGGTCACTTCCAAGGTAAAAATCTGGGCCAATCAACATAATGGTGATATCATTAACAGGAAGATGCCAATTTAAAATTTGAACACATTGAATTTAAGGTGAAAGTAGAAAAGAAAGATGAGAAAGACTACATGTATATATTTGAGTATCAAAAAAAAGTTTAAGAACTAAAGTCATTAGAATGAATGGCCCTGGGCCGACCCTGTGGCTCACTCAGGAGAGTGCGGAGCTGGGAGTGCAGCAGCGCTCCCACCGTGGGTTCGGATCCTATATAGGGATGGCCGGTGCGCTCACTGGCTGAGTGCGGTGTGGGCGACACCAAGCCAAGGGTTGCGATCCCCTTACCGGTCACAAAAACGACAAAAGAAAAAAAAAAAAAGAATGAATGGCTCTACAAGCAAAAGAGTGAGTGAATGTGTGTGTGTGTGTGTGTGAGAGAGAGAGAGAGAGAGAGCACATGCACGCATGTGTGTGTGTGTGTGCATGTGTGTCTGCATGCATGAATTACTGAGGAGAAAGACTTAGAGAATACAAACATTTGACTCAAGAAAAAAATAATTTACTATCTATAAATGAGTTCTCTTTTCTGAACTGATTCCTCAATTTTAAATATACATGTATTTTCTATGATGAATTCAACCCTAGGCACATTCTTCCATCATTTCCTTTTAGACCTTAAATATCTTATTTGAGATTCTAATTAATTGTATTAATCTACTATAAGGGCCTACAAACTTTTTCTGTAACGGGCCAGATAGTAAATATTTTAGTCTTGTGGGCCATGTGGACTATGTTGCAACTACTCCACCCCACTTCAGTGCGAAAGCGATCATAGATAATGCATAAACAAATGGGCACAGCTGTTTCAATAATACTTGATTTACAAAAATAAGTGTGGTCCAGATCTGGCCTGCAAGCCATTGCTTGTCAGCCATTGTTCTACTGGATAACACATCAAAACACATACACACACTCCATCTTGTCACAGGCAACATAAAATAATTTAATCTTTTTATACTGCACATATTTCTAGAAAGCTGTTTTTTAACTCTAAACTTGGACAATACATTATCATGCACATACATACCAAAAGGAATGTCAAAGTCATCCAAAGGCCGGGAACCATGATGTTCTTGTTGTTCCTAAAATGAATTCCCAAACAATCAATCTATGATTGGCTCAAAGACATTTATTATTTTGGAAAAAATATTCAATACCTATGAAAATTGTTGCATTCTTAGGTTCAGGTTCCATTTCTATCATTCTAGGTATAATTATTTATTCTACCAAATTAACTCTACAAAAGAGTTCATGAAATTCCACAAGGCAAACAATAAAAAAAGCATTACCAATTTAATGCAAAGTTACTAAATTGCTATGTGCAATTCTCCACTGCAAACTAGCTTTGATACTCAAATAATACCCTCCTCGCCTGTCAAAATCTTTCAAGGACACAACGAGAATTTTTATAAAGTGCCTCCAGATGTGTTTTTGATAACATACTGAAAGAGCATGCCTTCTAAAAATCCATGTAAACAAAACTATGTTTCTTTTTATTTAATCGGTTTTTGCAAAAATAGCTAAACAGTCACTAAATTTAGAAGGAATGCTTAAAAAGATCTGACTTAAAACATAGGTTACATAACAAACCTATGTTTGGGAAATCTTAGACGCACCTCAGGGATAGATGAAACTGTAATAGAAAAAGCCCAAATAACATACCATAGGTATTAAGATGTCATAGAAAAAAAGAATGATTTCAAATATTAAAAAGTCACAGAGGCAGATGCTCTAAACTGATTGTTGATTTGCCATCGAGTTGCTTTTCACATTCACAACTATATACCTACTGTTCTGTGGAGGGAGGCATCAGGGATTTATGTGTGCTGAATGATCTAAGGATTCTCTTAATCATAATCTGAAGCTGCCAGCAATCAGACTAGATAAACCACAAAGACATACCAAACTCTGTGTACACACAAATCAGGGAAGAATCTATAGTAGTTGTTGTATACCTTGGGTTTCACAAAGATTTCTGAATCATCATTATTAATGATGGAATCCTCTGGTCGGAAAGTTACATTTGGTTTTCTCTTCAGTTTTTCAGATCTTTGTTCTTGCAGGTCCTTCTCAGCTCGTCTTCTTTGCCTGTTAAAAACAACAGAATAAAACATTTTTACTACTAGAGTAACATCAGTTTCTCATTTGTATCATGCCATATAGGGAGACAGTTATCAAAATTATGTTAATAAATTATTTTCAATAGCATTTAAGTAGCAAGATAGTCCACTAGAATACAATCAAATATAAGCAAAAAAATCAAAGAAATGTAAAATTTATTTCTAGTTCTTCTACTATTGAACTATTATTCTGTGTTAGTCACTGGAATCTCAGGACAGGGTTACATCTTTTAGGTGATTTTCAAACTCCTTCCTGCAGATTCAAAGCTGGTGTCAGAAACCCTATCGGATACCTCCATTTGCCTATTTTAAGACATTAAGCACACCTGGTCACCTGAATGAAATCCTGGCAAGGAGGAAAAAGGTCCAGAAAAGTTAAGCAGCAGACTTACTTTGAAGAGGGAGTAATTGGAAAAGATGAAAGGAAGGAACCATTTCTGTAAAGACAGCACTGGTAATGGATTTTACAGTCTGATAAGTGTGAAACTTTAAAAGTATTTTCAAGACTCAGTAATTATCTATCAATCAATACATGTATTGAACATTCATTATGGGTAAAACACTATAGGTGCTCTTCATTAGAAGTCACAGCATTGCTTTTCACATGTACATTTCTTAGTGTCCTGAAACAATTTACATCACCTACTCTCCTGCTTATTATAACAGTCTGGAGAACACATTAAGATGAATAACAGAAAATATTGGTTCAAAGCATTGGAGAGTATATGGAATTCTGTATATCAGATACAAGGGTATTTCAAAAAGTTCATGGAAAGATTCATATTATCTTTTAATTCTATTTTTCCATGAACTTTTTGAAGTATACTCCTCGTATTTGTGCTGGAAAAGATGACTGCTCATCCTAGTAATAAAAACATGTAAAAGAATCATTCAGCTTATGAATTATAGTAAAGAATCCTTAATAAAATGGTAAAAATGATAGTATTTATCTCACAATAAAGGAATTTTCCTCGTTATAGTATGTGCTCAAATGCATGACAGGTGACAAAGAAACAATACACACTTGTGTTTAGGCTAGTAGGTTGAACCAGGTAATTTCCACCTTTATGACTTTATGATTATAAGTAATAATGAACTTGCTGGTACACGATATTATGAAATAAAGTTTCATTTAAAACTCGCCTTTTTTTGCTGTCCTTTCCTTGTCTTACTTCAGATGGTAGTGTTTTGACCTTTAGAAGCTGAAGGTGGCCAGAATCACCTTTTTCAAATAAATTCTGTTTTAGTTTCTGTTGGCTTTGTTTAAATGCAATGAGGTTTTCAAGTGGGATAAGTTCTGGTTTTTTGTACTACAGGAAAGAAACAAAGCATAATTATGAAAAATTACAAATTCAATTATAAAATCTGTAGACAAAAAATTGAGAAAAACATTTGTTCAAATTAAACCAAATTGTGCAAGAGAGAGATCAAATCAAATATAATAAATTGGCTTGGACTGGTAAGATGAGTATCCATATCTTAAAGAATAAGTGATTTTAGAATGCTAAAAGTTTCAGTTGAATCATTCTTCTTCAGAGAAATTAAGCTAAAAGCACTCATCTTCTTAATTTCATTTCAACATTAAAAATCCTTCTTATAATTATAAGTGAAATTATTTAATGCCTAGCATTTAATTTAAAATTATTTGGAACAGAGAAGATGCAGAGGCATGAAGACCATGGATGCAACAGATTAGCAATATACTGATAACCCCTGAAGCAGAGGAATAGGAACTTGGGGGTTCGTTATACCATCCTAATAAAAATTTAATTATTCTCAAAATGTCCACTTTTTCATCTGTTTAATCCTTCCTTCTTCTTCATAATATGTTAAGAAAAGGAGGCATGGTAAGCATTTTTTTAAGGAATAACCATCTCTTTCCCCAGTACCATCTTCAAATCTTAAAACTACACCAGAGAGTGAATTACTAAATTACCTCCCTAAAATGGAACTACTTACCTACAAAAGTAGAACTTAAATAATTTGAATTTCATAAATGAAAGGTTACCCACATAAAGAAGATTCAGTGGGTTTATAAAGCTTCCGTTTTATTACATGCACAACTACTGACAGACCTGGGTCTCTTTACCAGTTTTTACCTGTAACAGATTTGAAGCCAATCAACACACACACACACACACACACACACACACGAATAAGAGTGCCTAGTAATTATATTTCACTTATTTCTTCTCTGACCATAAGAAATATCTATGAAACAGTGCAGTAAATTCTGGTATTAGGGCCGGCCCGTGGCTCACTCGGGAGAGTGCGGTGCTGATAACACCAAGGCCCCGGGTTCGGATCCCACATAGGGATGGCCGGTTCGCTCACTGGCTGAGCGTGGTGCTGACAACACCAAGTCAAGGGTTAAGATCCCCTTACCGGTCATCTTTAAAAAAAAAAAAAAAAAAAAAATTCTGGTATTGATGGACCAGAAAAACCTAAGACATTTAAAATATACAATTATTATTTTAAACAAGATTTTTTAAATGTTATGTTCCTATAACAGAAGCATTATTTCAAAAAAAGAAATGTGCAAGAGCTTTTTATTGAATATATAGTATTTATGGTATGAAAAAAGCTGAACTCTGCTTTTGCATCGCCTAGCAAAAATTCCTCACCATAATTTCTGGGTACAGACATGAATGAAGTAATGATAGTCTTGGGTATTTTCTTTCTTCTGCTACAGTTCTGAAAGGTGTTGAGGGAACTGATGCTCTTGAGGTTGATGAAAATATACAAGGAGGTTTAAGTGGCAGGTATAATGATGGAAGTCCAAAGGAATTCTGAGGAGATATCTCAAGGGGCCCTGACTTAACATCAAACAGTTTTTCTGTTTTCATAAATACTGAGGAGTCCTGTTGAGGTGTCACATTTTCTCGTCCAACATACTGATCCAAGTTCATGTGCTTAGGGATTTCTGTAGTTACAGATTCTTCCCATTTCTTCTGCTCAACTGTTTCGTTTATGGCTTCAGTATCATACTGACTTAGATTCAAATGGGATACTGACGTAGTATGCACTACTCTCTGTGGCAGAGGAGGTTGGAAGGAATCAGATAATCCCCAAGCCTCTCTTGGTTGTGGCAGAGGCCTGAGGGGAACTTGTGGAGCACTTCCTGTATGTAAGGAAAGGGGCCTGATTTCGTGCTTAGACTGAAATTGAAGCAAAGGAAAACCACCACCAGGACTAAAAGTTTTTGCAAGTGGGATAAGTCTAGGTGTCTCCTGAATGGCAGAAGATGTGGACAAAAGGTGGAGGTGAGAATTTCCAGTGGGGGCTGAGGAAAACAAAATGGGTGGTAAGCTTTGAGATATGGGAGTTAGTCTTCTCTTCTGGGGTTGGTCGTCTAATTGACATAAAGGAATATTCTCATGTGGAACATTCTGGAAGAGAAAAAAATATTATGTAAGTTTAGAATATATTACAAATTCCTTATTTGGTAAACGATGTTCTGTATGTTTTGGAGGTGGTGGAATGGAATAACTGCTAAAAAAAAAATTATTTACTCAAATAACAAAAAATCAGCAAGCAATTAAACTACAAGGACATTAATGGTAGTTTTACATGCATTACCTGTAAATTTCCATTATTATTTTGATCAGATTGAATAATTCCTTCATGGCAGTGTGGGCTGTTCTTGCCAGGCTGTCTGGTGTACTCTCCTATGGACTGTGGTTTATTGAAAAATCTCTCCTTAAGATTTCTACTGCTATCTTCAACATCACCACTCCCTCTTATGGGGTTTGATACTTGGCTTTCCCCTAAATGCACAGAATGAGACTGCTGTAGAAGTTGATGTATATCAGGGAGGTTAGCAAAGGATGATCCTACTATTTGCATTAGGCTCATAAAGTTGATCTGTTGCAGCTAGAATAAAACAAAAATTAAACAGGTATCTTAAAATATAATGAAAAAAATCTAAAGAGTCAACAACAATCATTGAGCATTCTACAACAGTCATACCTTATTAGTATCTGTCTGACTCATGAATACTGAGCAAAAGGCAGAGCCAGGAGAGATTTTTTTTTCTTAAGAAGAGAAAAAAAAAGTATAGCTTCCTGTCAACTGGGAATATGAACACTAATTCACAAATGAGACTTGGGACTATCTGTGAACCAATTTATGTAAACTCCTCAGAGATCATAAAGGAGTGACCTGATGGAGTGGGGGTAAGGATAACTAAAGGATTCCCAGAATAGGTGTGTTTTGAACAAGTTTTCAGGAAGGAAAAGAGCAGAAAGTAGCACATAGGTAAAGAGCGAGGAATTCCTTCACAAGGGCTAACTCAATGAAAGACAAAGGCAGGCACCAGTGGTTCCCAAACTTTGCTGCAGATTAGAATCACCTGAGCAGCATTAAAAAGTCCCAATGGCCAGGTCACACGCCATACCAATAACATCCAAATGTTTGGGGATGGGAGCCAGGATCAGTATTTGTTAAGATGACCAGGTGATTTCAATGTGCAGAAAAGCTTGGGAACCAGAAGCAAACATGTTGGCTTAGCTGGAACAGGAGATTTATATCAGGGATGATAAGATAGGCTAGTGTAGTAGTTCCCAAACTTTAACATGCCTCAAAATCATCTGGAGTATTTTTTAAACCACTGTTTGCTGAGCCCCACCACCAGCATTTGTGATTCAAAAGTTCTGGTATGAGGGCCTGAGAACTTGTATTTCTCAGATATAAGTGATGTTGTTGCTACTAGTCCAAGAATCACACACTGAGAACTACTGGACTTGTGAGAGTAAGGTAGGAAAGGAGAGAAGGTAAAGGCTAATAGTGGGGTCTTCCAAGGCCAACAGAAGAATCTGCACATGATAAAACAAACCAATAGGGGAAACACTGCAGGTTAAAATAAAATGTAATTTCCCTTCGGATCCCCACCACCTGCCAGAAAAATAAATTTTAAAAATGTAATTTCCCTTCAATTTTAAAAGAAATACACAGTTAATACAGAAAAAAAAGCAGTGAAGTATAAAAAAGAAAATAAATATCATTCATAATCCTATCCCCAAAGATAACCAGTACAGTATTGACATTTTAGGGTATTTCCTTTCACTCTCTGTATTTTTGAAACAGATTGATATCATATAGTATACAAATTTGCACCTAAAATTTACTGAAGATTTTTATTTAATTTTATCATTACACAACATAAATATTTTTTGTGGCCCTTTACCAATTTCTCCCTATAAATAGGAGAATAATAGTATTAAAATATGTCTGAAGAAGAGCATCCTAGAAAATGCATCTCTAAAGCAATGGAAGTATTAAAGCTAAGAATCTAAGACTGGCTACAGCTATAGAAATAGCAAGTGGCTGTACTGACACAGTGTGGGCAAAAGAATCAAGAGGACACAGTAAAACAGATATGGGTAATGACAGAAGGAAAAGATGACTCTTTGAGACAGTCATTCTTAATCGTTTGTGGGCATAAGAATTATTTGGAAAACTTGTTATATATGCAGGACAGTGACCAGGAAATTCCCCAGGTAATCCATAAAACACTGTTTGAGAAATGTTTCTAAAATTTTAAGCTGGCAGAACAGGTAATATTACTAAACAGAAAAGGGAAAGAAAGGACTAGACAGAAGAAGAATAAAATCAGTTTCAGTAAGTTTCATGGGATAGGTTTTCAAGGGAACCAATATTTTCTGTTATTCATCTTAAAGTATTTTCATCAGGGCTGGTAAGTTCAAAGAGAAAATCACTGCCAAGAATCATCAATATAAAGATGGTATATTACATCACATAAAAGGATATGAATAGACCTCCACTTGACCCTACAAAGGAAAAGAATAGAGCTGGCATAATAATTGCATTTAACAAACATAAATTCCAAGAGAACAGATAAAATGGGAATATTTAATAAATAGAATATAGAGAATGCTTTATTAAAATTATAAGAAGTGTAAAATAAGTCATTGCTGTATATCACAATAAAGTTTCAAATGCAAATGATGTTTTAATAAAAGAGAATATATGGATTTACTTAAAGCAAGTGTCAAGTTCTTCAGGTGGCTGAGACCAAATCTAATCAATAAGAGCATAAAAATTAATATTTCAGGATCCAAAATATACACAAATTATATATTTACTATTAAAAATTGTTAATAGTAACAAACATCATCTTTTCACAAATCTAACTGCTGGCATAATTCAAGCATTGAATTCTCTCATTTTTTCAGGGTTCTTTATTTCAGTTTAAGAAAATAAGTTAAGCAACTATTCAGTTTCTCTTTTTATTTGTACATATATCCATATTTACAAATGAATTTAAAACTTATACATGTACAACAATATTAATAGCAATAATATTAATAATGAAATTCATAATAAAACAATTCACCGATCATTTACCAAGTGCTAAGTGCTTCATGTACAATTGACTTCCCTAATACTACAATTAAACTATGATAGACATAGTATTATCTCTCATTTTCTACCACTTCAAAGGAAAAATGTCAACTTATAGTGGTCATTTTGTGAATCAACAGCATTTCTAAAGTTATAATCTCAGCTTTTTCATAAAGTATCTAAAGTAATTGTAAAAGTATTTGTGTCCGGGGCTGGCCCGGTGGCACACTGGATGGTGCGCCGCTTGGGAAGTGCGGGGGTGCTCCCACCCGAGGGTTCGGATCCCGTATACAGACCGGTTCCCGCTCACTGGCTGAGCGAGGCGCGGGGGCAGCACCGAGGGTTGCAATCCCGTTGCCGGTCCCCGGTCCGGTACGGGGGCAACACTGAGGGTTGCGATCCGTTGCCGGACACGGAAAAAGACAAAAAAGACAAAAAAAAAAAAGGATATGAATGTGAACATAGAACAAATGCATAGAGGATTAGACGAGGGAAATTAATGTTTCAAGAATAAAAAAGGGAAGAGAAATAATTAAAAATTGTTAGTAGATGAAGAAAAGGAAAACCAGGTGAGAAAAAGATGATGGAAGTCAAAGTGAACAATAATTTGAAATGCAGCTGACAGTTTCAACCCAAGCAAAAATTTGATCTGTGGATAAGAAATTTAACATGACAGGTTGGGTTAGAAAATAAACTTTGGCAGGCCGGCCCGTGGCTCACTCGGGAGAGTGTGGTGCTGATAATACCAAAGCCACGGGTTCGGATCCCATATAGGGATGGCCAGTTAGCTCACGGGGTGAGCGTGGTGCTGACAACACCAAGTCAAGGGTTAAGATCCCCTTACCGGTCATCTTTTAAAAAAAAATAAAATAAGGGCCGAGCCCGTGGCGCACTCGGGAGAGTGTGGCGCTGGGAGCGCAGCAGCGCTCCCGCCACGGGTTCGGATCCTATATAGGGATGGCCCCGGTGCGCTCACTGGCTGAGCATGGTGCAACCGTTCACAAAAAAAATAAAATAAAATAAAATAAACTTTGCGGACTTTTGTGAAGGAGGCTGCTGGTCTGATCACCCCACCCCACCCCCCACCTCAGGTCTGTGAGCAGCGCTGCATCCCAAAAAGTTCAACAAAAAAAAAGTGATTATGAGAAGTAGGTAGCTCAGCCTAGACTTCTGGCCCTAGACTTATGAACTTTTGAACGACAAATGAAGAGTGCCCAAATTAGAGAAATGCCTGAAATTTAATGTTAACTGGTCCATTTCTGGAAGTTTGTTAATATTTTAAAACCCTATACACATCAGGTTGTAGATTTACTTACTTATATAGAGATGTGCTCACCTGAACTAATTTAAACATTTCATCTCGGAGCATCTGCCTAACAGAATCTGAAGAATCTGGTATTTCGGCATTGTGTTCATTTCTCTGGGTCTTCTGAGGTGTTGGAACAGGTGTTTGTGAAGCAACATTGATGCCATTTGATACCAGAGGAGGAACTGAGGAAGACTGATCTTTAAATGCAGAAATCTGTGCGCTATGTGGAAGCATTTAAATAAAAAACACACATTAGTCAACAAAAAACAAATTGGATGTCTATGATCTAAATACTTTGATTCCACTTTTTTCTTCAAATGTAAAGGTTATTCTGGTAGTTTTCAGGAAATTTAAACGCTAAAGCCTATCTCTAGTACCCATCAGCCACCAGACACATGTGTCATCAGCCCAATTTTTCATCTGAATGCTTTTATAAAGGGACATATATCGTCTAGTCAGCAATGGTCCCCTCCCTATAGTGTTACAACCCAGAAAAGTTCATGCACTTATTTTGCTTGCCTGGTCCCTGTAGGCATCTGAATTTGAGACCAGTATAATTATTCTGATAACTGTACAGACTTTGTAATTTGGCTTAGGAATAAGTTTTTTGACTAAAATTAATGATCCAGAATAGAAGTAAGAAAACTGGAAAAAGAATGGGTTAAAAAATGTTTAATTCTAGAGCTGGTAGAGCAAACTACTGCTGATCATCATTAAATGTGAAACAACAGTATTGTGAACATTTCATTTCCAAACAAACCAGTTTACAACTAAACCCTAACAAAAAATGCTTACTTAGAAATAAAAATAAAAGATCAAAGCAAGTTCTTTTACTTTTTTTTTTTTTTTCCTTTTTTGTCTCTTTTTCGTGACCGGTAATGGGATCGCAACCCACGGTGTCACGCCCGTACCGCGACTGGCAATGGGATCGCAACCCTCGGTGTCGCGCCCGCACCGCACTCAGCCAGTGAGCAGACCGGTCTCTATATGGGATCTGAACCCTCGGCGGGAGCGCCACCGCGCTCCCAAGCGCCACACTCTACCGAGTGCACCACTGGGCCGGCCCTTTTACTTTTTTTTTAAACAAAATGATTGTTGGGGGATGATTCCTTAAATGTAGCAGGTATTCAATGTTTTCTAGCAAATAAATTTCATAAACTAAATAAGGGAGCAGGCAATTATAATATTCAAATAAAATGATCATTGTTTTCAAAAAGAAAAAACCATATCAAACTACATTTAGATTTATTTGGATGTACACTTAGTCCCTTTCAGCAATATTTACCTTTTATCAAGCATCTAATATGCTCAATAACAGAACTTTATTTGGCAAATCCATGGAAAACTGGCAATATAACGGATCGCCTATTTTAAGACAACTGTATTGGGCTTTTCTTTCAACAGTAGTAAGATTGATTCTAATTATGCACAATTTTTTAGAAGTAAAGCTGTGCTATTCTTCCTATTTCAGCAAGATTCCTAAACACTAAGCACTCTATTCGAACTCTATAAAAAGAACTGGATGAATCTGTTCTATGAGAGAATTAAAACTATTTCGAATGCTATTAGAAATCAGTTAGAAGCTGAAAATGAGCAACAACTCTGTCTTTCAGTACTATAGCCACTACTTTTTTTTCAGAAAAGACTGTTTTAACATAGTTCCTGTACGTCTTTAAAACACAGGTTAGCAGAAACTACATTCAATAATTAACTTAAATATGTCAGAAATGTGTGCCTATGTTGCTCTTTCAATGATTCATGTTGGCTTCATTTATTCTCTTAGTTTTTAGTCAAAACGCTTACTGATTATTTCAAAATGGTACAATAGGCAAAAATTCTTACCCAGAAATTTCTGAACTTGTATCTACACAAAATGACTGAGGAATGGTATATTCAGAATCTGAAGAGTCTTCGATCATACTATAAACAAAAATTAATGATTGATTAGGAAGTAAGATTTTCTTTTCATCATCTAAGGTTACAGGTGATCTAAAGCCCAGCCATCTAAGTCTAAACATCCTCTAATCCTCTGTAATGCTCAGCTCATAATTACAATCTGTTTACATCTGTCTCCATAGCAATTCATAATGGATTCAAACAAAAGCAAAGAATGTGTCTGGATTTTTTAAAACACAACTTAAACACTGCTGACTGCTCAGTAACAAAAACAATAGAATTAAAATGAAGTGACATGAGAGGTTAGCTGGGACCCAAATTTCACCTATAGAAGAGGCAGACACTTCGCTGAGAACACTAAAGAGCCCATTACCACATGTGAAACTGTGAAGACTAGTTTCTATAAATAGGAATATCCATATTACTTGGAAAGGCACATGACATTAAATATATTATTTTGTTGATTATCCACAGAAAAACTAAACAAAATTCGTGTATTGAAAAGAGGAAAAAAATTGAATTATGTTGTCTCTCTTATCCAAGGTAATTCTAAAAACTTCTAAAATTCTAAAAATTAAGAAATCATGTCCATACTGCAACACATGAAAACTACCTTCAGCTCCCCTTGAATCAATAATAAGCCAGCCAGCAGACTGCGTATGTATCACAACCCTAAGGGATAGTGTGTGCAGTAATCATGCCACAACAGTGAAAGATTATATATGTACACACACACACACACACACACACTATAATTCATAATGGTTCTTTATTTGATTCAATAAAAATGGAATCAGTATGGAAAGGTGGTTCCTAATTAGCAGCAAAATAAACTTTGGTCTATTTACAGCAGTATTTTATTTTGATAAGGCTGATAGTTATGACAGAACAAGTCATTTTAGACAACATTATTTATTTCACTCTACTAAGACTTATTAGAAGTGTAATATTACCAAAAATCATTTTTCAACACAGCTATAAATTAAAGTTACAATTTCACCAGAAACACAATTCCATCATAAATATGTGGAATTTAAGGAATTATAAGGAAAAAAAAAGCTGAAAGCTTCACTGACGTAAACAAGTCGGTTATAATCTTTTCTGTACTTTTTTGCCCTTACCCTTTCTGTTCAGTCGATTTCTTCTCCCTATTTGTCTCTAATGGTTCTTCCCTTGGACAACAAACCTTTTCTGTGGAATGCTATTGAAACAGTACCCAAAAAGGAAAGAGGTAAAACAAATAGGTATTACTGTCTTAGGTAATTCAGAGTTTCACATTAGCCATTTGCCCAGAGTAACAACAGTCTCAAAGCAAGTGAGAAATCACACACTAAAATGTAGGCCCAGTTCCAATATGACCAGATCTTTATACTGTGTGAATTGCCTTTGGCCCATCACCCAGTTTGAGCATGTTAAGATAAAAAGACAAGATGATGTCAGCGGACTAACCCTGTAAATTACACCCATCACTGCATGGCTATTAAATACTCTATGAAAAAAACTAGAAAATCAAGAAAACCCAATCCTTTCTAAAAGAATTATCACAATAATTGGAAATGTCTATGTCCCACCTGGAAATTCGGTGTATAGAGTTCTGAGAAAACAAATAAGAAAAAAAAGTGCACATATGTACAAAAACTAAATACTACAGCTGAATTATACTTTTTAAATAAAGAACATCCTCACCACTCTTGATTAATTGTTAAAGCAGTTTATGAAATGAAAATTTCATTGCCTGAAATTATGGGACATGTTACTAATAGTAGAATTTCTGTGAAAGAAAAATGCTGCCTGGCACGGCTATGTTATACAATCCATAATGCACTTTTTAAGAGGTAATAGCCTCACTCTGATGTATATAATAACGACAAATAAAAACACATAGGTATAATTTAAATACTAGACAAAATAAAAGCAAATAATTTTATCCACTATTTATCAACTTACTTCTTCTAACTGCTGTGGTAAAGTCAGCATGCAAATGGCAATATTGGGACTTTTGAGACTTTCAACAGGTCCTTTGGCATCTTCTAGAGGGAAACAAAAGAGGAAGAGAAAACTGACCATTTGAAAAAGTCTACTGACTTTTTAGACGATTCAGGGAATACTACAGGAAACAAGTATAATGACAAACATTTTCTTTTTCTTTTTTTTTTTTCCTTTAAATTTTTATTTTGTCAATATACAATGTGGTTGATTATTATGGCCCATCACCAAAACTTCCCTCCCTCCTCCCTCTCCCCCCCCCCACCCAAGAATGTCCTTTCCGTTTGCTTGTTGTAACAACTTCAAAAAAATTGTAGTTGTTATATCTTCTTCCCCCCCTCCCCCGGTTTGTGTGTGTGTGTGTGTGTGTGTGTGTGAGTGTCACCCCAGTTAGGATGGCCAAAATCCAAAAGACGCTGAAAGATAAATGCTGGCATGGTTGCGGAGAAAAAGGAACTCTCATACATTGTTGGTGGGAATGCAAAATGGTGCAACCCCTATGGAAAATGGTTTGGAGGTTCCTCAAACAGCTGAAGATAGATCTACCATACGACCCAGCTATCCCACTGCCTTAACGGGATCGCAACCCTCGGTGTCGCGCCCGCACCACGCTCAACCAGTGAGTGGACCAGTATCTATATGGGATCCGAACCCTCGGCGGGAGCGCTGCTGCACTCCCATGCAGCGCACTCCACCAAGTGCGCCACCGGGCTGGCTCTTCATTCGTTTTTATAGCTGAGTAGTATTCCATTGTGTAAATATACCACATTTTCCGTATCCACTCATCCGATGATGGACATTTGGGCTGATTCCAGCTCTTGGCTATTGTGAAGAGTGCTGCAATGAACATTGGGAAACAAGTATACCTTCGACTTGATGATTTCCATTCCTTTGGATATATTCCCAGCAGTGGGATTTGGGCTTGTTCCAACTCTTGGCTATTGTAAAGAGTGCTGCAATGAACATTGGGGAACATGTATATCTTTGACTTGATGATTTCCATTCCTCTGGGTATACTCCCAGCAGTGGGATAGCTGGGACATATGGTAGATCTATCTGCAATTGTTTGAGGAACCTCCATACCATTTTCCATAGAGGCTGCACCATTTTGCAGTCCCACCAACAATGTATGAGAGTTCCTTTTTCTCCGCAACCTCGCCAGCATTTATCGTTCAGAGTCTTTTGGATTTTAGCCATCCTAACTGGGGTGAGATGGTATCTCAGTGTAGTTTTGATTTGCATTTCCCGGATGCTGAGTGATGTTGAGCATTTTTTCATATGTTTGTTGGCCATTTGTATATCTTCCTTAGAGAAATGTCTATTTAGTTCTTTTGCCCATTTTTTAATTGGGTTGCTTGTTTTTTTCTTGTAAAGTTGTTTGAGTTCCTTGTATATTCTGGATATTAATCCTTTGTCGGATGTATATATCTATCCTCCTTACAAAAATATTTTTTAAAAACATCTGGAAATAATTCCCTTTTCATCAAGTAAATCTCAGATGAGCCTTAAAAGGGCTTATATCAGTATGTATAACTCCATAAAATTCTGAGAGTTTCTGTTTTAAGAAAGACTGCCAGCAAGAGGTTCATAGAGTTGGTTCACAGAAATCAGGAGACTCATAATCATTACATAAGCAGGGCAAGAGGCCCAATAATTGTAAAAGAGCTACCAACATAAAAATATGTTAGGTCATCTTGGTTTTATTAAAAATCAAGGTTACAGGTTAATACATTCAATACTTCATAAATATTACATTCTCTTTTAATTTTTGGTCTTAGGCTATTTTAAAAATACTAACTTAAATATAAGACTAAATAAGTTATCTCAGATACCATTTATCAAATTAATAAAGCCAAAGAAAAAGATCATTGAAATGTACTGACCTTCACACTCTGATATGTGTATATCCATTTCCTTCTGTGTATATGTTTCTACTTCTAAAAGATCTTCATCGATATCTATGAATTCTTTTTCAGTATTATAGGTGATGGAAATAATATCATTGATTTCTCTTATTTCAAGATTTTTTGCTTCACTTGGCATTCTATTGCTGAAAATGGACAAAGACCATATGATTATCTCAATAGATGCTGAAAAAGCATTTGACAAAATTCAACATTCCTTCATGATAAAGACTCTCAACAAATTAGGTATAGAAGGAAAATATCTTAACACAATAAAAGCCATTTATGACAAGCCCACTGCCAGTATTACTCTGAATGGGGAAAAACTGAAGGCCTTCCCCTTAAGGAAAGGAAGAAGACAAGGATATCTACTCTCGCCACTTCTATTCAACATAGTACTGGAGGTACTAGCTAGAGCAATCAGGCAAGAGAAAGAAATAAAGAGAATCCAGATTGGAGAAGATGAAGTCAAACCTTCCCTATTTGCAGATGACATGATACTATATACAGAAAAACCTAAAGACTATCAAAAAACTCCTAGAGCTGGTTAATAACTTCAGTAATGTTGCAGGATACAAAATAAATACCCAGAAATCAGTAGCATTTATGTACTCAAATGATGAATTAACAGAAAGAGAAATAAAAAAAGTAAGCCCATTTACAATCATCACCAAAAAAATATGATACGTAGGGATCAATTTAACCAAGGAGGTTAAAGACCTCTATAATGAGAATTATAAACCTCTTCTGAAAGAAATTAAAAAAGACACAAAAAGATGGAAAGGTATTCCATGCTCTTGGAGTGGAAGAATTAACATTGTGAAAATGTCTATACTATCCAAAGCAATCTACAGATTCAATACAATCCCCATCAAAATACCAATGACATTCTTCACAGAAATGGAAAGAACAATCTTACCTTTCATATGGAAAAACAAAAGACCCCAAATAGCCAAAGCAATCCTGAGTAAAAAAAACAAAGCCAGAGGCATAACTCTGCCTGACTTCAAATTATACTACAAAGCTGTTGTAACCAAAACAGCATGGTACTGGTACAAAAATAGACATTCAGACCAATGGAGTAGAATAGAGAACTCAGAAATCACTCCTCAAGCTTATAGCCATCTGATATTAGAGAAAGGCAACAAAAATCTAAATTGGGGAAAAGATTGCCTCTTCAACAAGTGGTGCTGGGAAAACTGGATATCTATATGCAGAAGAATGAAACTAAGTATGCATCTCTCACCATACACTAAAATCAACTCAAAATGGATTAAAGACCTAGGTATTAAGACCCGAAAGTGTAAAATTACTAAGGGAAAATATAGGTGAAACACTTCAGCAGTTAGGTCTTGGCACAGGCTTTATGAACATGAGCCCAAAAGCACAAGCAGCAAAAGAAAAAATAAACAAATGGGACACTATCAAACTAAAAAGTTTCTGCACAGCAAAAGAAACAATCAACAGAGTGAAAAGACAATCTACAGAGTGGAAGAAAATTTTTGCCAACTATGCATCTAACAAGGGACTAATATCCAGAAAATACATAGTACTCAAGCAATTATACAGTAAAAAAAATAAATGACCCAATTAAAAAATGGGCAAAGGAACTGAATAGACATTTTTCAAAGGAAGACATACAAATGGCCAACAGATACATGAAAAAATGCTCAACATCACTAGTCATCAGGGAAATGCAAATTAAAACCACATTGAGATACCACCTCACTCCAGTTAGACTGGCTATGATCAAAAAGATGGTAAATAACAAATGCTGGAGAGGATGTGGAGAGAAGGGAACACTACTGCACTGTTGGTGGGAATGTAAATTAGGTCAACCACTTTGGAAAATGATTTCGAGGTTTCTCAAACAACTACATATAGATCTTCCATATAATCCAGCAATTCCTCTTCTGGGTATATATCTAAAGGAATGGAAATCATCATGTCGAGGAGATACATGCACTCCCATGTTTACTGCAGCTCTGTTTACAATAGCCAAGATATGGAACAACCTAAATGTCCATTAATAGATGATTGGATAAGGAAACTTTGGTATATATACACTATGGAATACTACTCTGCCATAAAAAAGAATAAAATACTCCCATTTGCAACAACATGGATGAATCTGGAGAAACTTATGTTGAGTGAAACAAGCAAAGCGCAGAGGGATAAGTACAGCATGTGCTCACTCATATGTGGGAACTAAGAGAGAAAGGAAGGCAGGAAAGAAAGACCACAGTAGTGCTGTGATTCAACAGAGGGAGGGAACATTGATAGGGCTACAAATTGGAGTTGAGGGGAGGGGGGGAAGGGGAGGGAGGTTGGGGGATAATTGGAAGGGGACAAAGGGTACAAAAGTAATTTCTGGTAATGGGTATGACCCCAACATGAATCTGGCCCCCACATCATGGGCAGGAGGGGGAACAATCAGCTTTGTATCTCATGAATATTTGAAATAAATAAATAAATAAATAAATAAATAAGAAAATGCAGCAAATATAATTACAACTCAAAGAATGAACTTTGTTTTCATATTTATAAACTGATGGAATTTGGATGTGTTGTCCCCTCCAAAACTCATGTGGAAATTTGATCTCCAATGTGGCAGTGTTGGAAACTGATTGAGTCATGAAGGTGGATCCCTCATGAATGGATTAATGCTCTCTCTGGGGGACGAGGGGTAGTGAGTGGGTTCTCTCTCAATTAGTTCCCGCGAGAGCTCATTGCTTAAAAAGACGCTGGCACGTTCTCTCTCTCTTGCTTCCTCTCTCTTGCTTCCTCTCACCATGTGATCTGTTTGTACCTGCTGGCTGGCTGCCACTTTCCGCCATAAGTAGAAACAGCCTGAGGCCCGTGCCAGATGCAGCTGTCCCAGAATCATAAGCCAAATAAACCTCTGTTCTTTATAAATTACCCAGTTTCAGGTATTCTGTTACAGCAACACAAAATGGACTAAAACATAAACACTTTTTTTTTTTTTTAAAGATGACCGGTAAGGGGATCTTAACCCTTGACTTGGTGTTGTCAGCACCACGCTCAGGCAGTGAGTGAACCGGCCATCCCTATATGGGATCCGAACCCGTGGCCTTGGTGTTATCAGCACCGCACTCTACCGAGTGAGCCACAGGCCGGCCCATAAACACTTTTTTTTCAAACTATTTCTGGTACATAGCAGAAGTTCAGTAAAAGGTTCTTCAATGAATGACTGAAATCCTAGTTTTTATTTACTTAAAAGATTAGAATAATTTCAACTTAACTAAAATTACCAGCCTCACCTTACAAAAAAATCTTCATACTATAAGGGCTTTTGCCTTAGTATTCAAAGATATATTACTCCTAGTATTGCTTCATATGTGAAAAGGGATGAAAAGATTAGCTCAACTTCCTCTGACATGGAAAATAAATTAATATAATAAAGGGATCTCTCAGGCTGAATTAGCTCCTCTCTCGGAAGATACAAGCTGGAATTGTTAAAGCAGTTCAGAAAGCTCACTTCCTGTTCCTCTAGTTCAAAGAAATGTTCATTCCTTTAATATCAAAGGTTCAATTCTTTCCTGTAAGCCCAGGAATCATCAAACCAGGTATCTTCTATTGAAAAGGAGGGTATAATCAGCAACTTACTTGAAGATACTTTGACAGTATCCATTCTGATCATTTCGTTCCTCAGTTCCACCTTGAGTTGCTAGTGCAACTGGACAGCCAGCATCTGTTTCACTCTCCCTCTCAATATTGGGTCCAATCTGAGGCCCAGTGTAATGATTATCTAGCACCTAAAACAAACCATTTATATATTTAATATTCATAATTGAACCCATTATTTTTCACCGTATTTTAAAATTATTCATACTTTCTAAAGAACTTCTCGTGATTCTCATGTTCATTTCTCAAGTATTTACTGCATTTCTACAATTCAGTATTGCTGATGCAAAAATGATCTGAGTCTTTATTCTACCTGGAAAAAGCAAATCTGACCACCTAGACAGTATTCAAAAGAAATCATCCTGTACCAGCCAGCCATCATAAAAAAAGAAATCACCCTTACAAATTTGTAAGATATATCATCATTGTTTTAGGGCCACAAAACAATGGCTGTAAAAATATAATGTTCTCATTTCATTCTCTTTGCTATTATGAAGACATTTAGTGGTTCTTTCAAAATGACACAGTAAACAAAAATACAAGCAGCTAAAAGTACAGGTACAACGTACTTTTGTCTCACTTAGAAATTCCCATATGCACTATCTAGAAATACAAATTTCAAGGATGATGTATTATATCACAGTATCATATAAACTGTATACTTCAGGATAACTGAAATTGATCTCGGACAAAAGAAAAAAAACGTAATACTACAAAATAAAACATTCTCTCTCTCTCTCTCTCTCTCTCTCTCTCTCTCTCTCTCTCACACACACACACACACACACACACACACACACACACACACACACACACACATACACATTTACACCGTTCAATCTAGAATAAACTATTTTAGAATGAAGGTACTTGCCACTGACTAGAGAAAAGAAAAGAATAGCTAATAAGCACTATCTCCTCTACGGACGCCCACTGGACTTTTTAGGTTTGGTTCTCCAACCTCTTCTGGCCTGAGAGTATAAGGAAAAATGCCCCTATAATGCATTTAATGAGATACTAGTAATAAAAACTGGACAGCTATCTAGGCCTTTTTCAAATGAAACTAGAAAGAAAAGTATAAATGTAATACCACTTGCAATATCATAATTATCTCTTTCCCTTTTTATTTTTATAAACACACATAAAACTGCAAAACCTCACAGCCTCTCTGAAAGCACTTTCACCTTCACTATTTTTAAGAAGAAATTGCTTAAAGGAAAAAAAAATCATTAGGTTATAACAGATTATAAATAAACATGTCATTAATTTTCCATTACTTGGTGATTCTTTAATATATGAAAAAATATAAACGTAGTTTTTGTCTGAAATGAGAGTTTTCATTTGTATGTAATAAACAATTGATGTGCGTACCTTAATAATGTCATTTTTTGCCTTGTATGTAGCAAAATAGGGTTGTTTCAAAAGCCATAACGATGTAAGAATGGCAGCTGTAGTGGTCTTTACCCGAATTACTGGACTGTACTCACAGGATGACTCACTTACACCAGAATCACAGAGTAGTCTTCTATCAGACCATCTTATCATCCATTCCAGCAGTCTTCCTACACTGCCAAATGTGTTATTCAGTGCTAGAGGAAGATCTTCTTGAGGGTTAATATCATTACACTGAATTGCTGTGAAAATACATCTTCTAGTTTTAATGGACTTGGGAGTCCAAAAAATGTGGTTTGATGATCTCTGGGTTAGAGGTTTCTCTCGATTGTCACCTTGTTTTCTGTAAATGGACTTTTGTTTTAAATCAAACAATCCACTCTTTCCTTCATTTTTACTCACTTCATTCAAAGAGTTCTCTAAAAAAGGTCTGATCCCTTGATTAACCAGTACTGAAGCTGAAAGTGCCTGGTTTTCTAAATTTATGGCACATTCATCATTTAAAGAGGATGATTTTTCAGATTCATATGACTCAGAAGCAACAACAAAGCAAGAGCCAGCTCTAAACACATTCTGGCTTTTGGTTCCGCCCTGACGTCGTTTCAATGTTGTATGCACATCAAAAAGTAAAGAATTAAGTTCATGTTCTCTAAGCTGTCCAGAAAAGCTCGTTAGAAATGGAATGCCAGGATCCCTGGAACTAAGCAGGTCTCTTTCAAGAACATAACTCAAGAAGAGATCAAGGAATTTAATATATTCATCATCATCACGTTCAAATTCCCAAACACCTACTACAGGAAGGGCATTTTGTAATAACTTTTCACGATCTTTATTTTCAGGGTTTTCTTTCTGATTATATATTTTCTTTTTATCACTGGGCTTCCCAGTCAATGTTAATTCCATGTGATTTGAAGCATTTCTACAGGAAAAAAAAGTGAAAAAGACAAAATTAAAGATCACTTAATCACTAAAACTGATCTTAGAACTGACATTAAAAATTCTCTCCACTGATTAAACTGGATACTTTTTTTTTGTGCCTCAATTACCTATCTTTCAAATGAGGGGCTTGGATTGAAAGGTTTCTAAGTGTTCTCAAGAGTGGAAAATTCTACAAAGTCAAAGAGTAAAAGCATAACACATTAGTATCAAAAATATGAAAATTTGTATTCAAAAGAGATAAAAATGTGTTCACAGAAATTTCACTATAAAATATGAATGTTTTTACAGGGAGTAAAATAATGGTCCTCTAACAGATCAGAATTTTGGAATACAAAGTGAATAAAAAATCACAAGTCACAAACCTTAATTTAGGGTTTCTTGTCTTTCTCCTGCGTCTGCCCCTTTTGGCTCCCCACATACTACATGCAACAAGCACGACTGCCCTTTTTTGTTTTACCACACAAAAGTTGGGAACTTTTTCTAAGCACTTTTAGCTGCTATGAACTGCTGGGCAGGCACCTGCTGCCAACCACAATTACATTTAAATATGTTTCTCTTTTTTTACGCAAGTGGTTCTATCTATCTATCTATCTATCTTATCTATCTATCTTATCTATCTATCTATCTATCTATCTATCTATCTATCTATCTATCTATCTATCTATCTATCTACCTACCTACCTACCTACCAATCTATCTATTTACTTATTGGCAGCTGGCCAGTATGGGGATCTGAACCCTTGACCTTGATGTTACAAGACTGCATTCTAACCATTAAGTCTGTTTCTTTTCAATCTGGTCCTTAGGGGAGAACACAGATGCTTAGTTCCCTCAATAAGAGGTGTTAGGTACCTGGGCTGAAGTCATCACACCTCCTATTGAGAATGCACAATAAGCAGCCTTCAGGGTATTCCCACGCTAACATTTAAGCATACTTGTTTTGTGAAACAAGCACATAATTTAAAATGTTATTAGATATGTTTTAAGCAGATGTTTGAAGTAAATGTGATTATTTCACTTAAGCAAGATTACTGTTGATTATACAGTCTTTAACTCATGAGAAGTATAAAATGCATTGCAGATACTGGAATTATAAAGAAAAAAATCAGCTCAAATAACAGTAACAGAGGTTGAGATGATAAGCAAGAATCCCCCAACAATTTATGAACAAGTTTCAAAGAAGAATGTGCAATTTCTTCCCTGGAAACCCTTAAAAATAATATGGCTAACCCAATAATCTCAAACTATTTAAATCTAAAGGTTACTAAAAGAACTAAAGTCTTTTTCAGTGACTTCCAGAATTTTACCTACTCATTTGATTTTATAATTTCACATAGCAAAATTATTTCATATCTCAATAATATTTAAAATAGATTTTCAAATGTACAGTCTCATTCTATACTCCTAATATCCTTGTGAGTAGGGAAGGTAGCATTTATTGTTTATACAGTTAATAGTACAATCAGTGAGGGTTACTGGGATTAGCAATCAGCTAATCAATTGCATAAAAATATTGAAAACATTTTTTTCCAAAGGAAGTGAATGCTTGTTATTAAGAGATCTCACTTGTACCTTTGATAGGAACGTAGCCTTTTTTCTTCAACTGACAAAGCTTCAGAGAACGTATCAGCTGTCTCTGCATCACTGTGAACCAGAGAATTCCCCTGTTCAGTGGGTGTACTTCTACTCAAAGTAGTTCCCAGGGAAAACCTGTCAAAACCTGGGGCCTCATCTGGTTTTTCTTCTTCAATTGGTTCCCATATATTCATTTCAAAAGAACCTATATTTCTCCACACACGTTTTAGGGCTTTCACCCTCACTTTATGGATAGAATGCATGATAACAGACATCATTTCCTCAGTATGGGGACCTAGAAAGAAAAGAGCAAAAGGTCATATGATTCATTAAAACGTTTCAATTCAACATAAGGGAACCCAATTCTGATCCCTCCTGGGGACATGAAACCTAACTGATGACTAAGGCTTACTTCACATTCTTACAGATAATGTTCTCTTCAGTATTCGCTGAAAAGCTATGGTCCATATTTTAAAGTAGAACTGCAGAAGCTAAAGGTCTATTAAAGAATAATATAAAGGAACAGAACCCGGAATCCTAAAAATATAAATAAAAATAAAAAAGGTGCCCTGCAAAAAGAAAAATTATGAATCATTTAACTATTTCAAAAATCAGAAGGATAGGGCCGGCCCGTGGCTCACTTGGGAGAGTGTGGTGCAGATAACACCAAGGCCATGGGTTCGGATCCTATACAGGAGTGGCCGGTTAACTCACTGGTTGAGTGTGGTGAGCATGGTGAGCGTGGTGTTAACACCAAGCCAAGGGTTAAGATCCCCTTACCGGTCATCTTTAAAAAAAAAAAAAAGGATAATTCTAATAAGAATAACTAATTTCTTATTCTTACTCTCCACAGAGTGAGAGAATAAGAGAAAATAAGTATAATTTTAGTCAAAAAAAATAAGGACACCTTTATTACTACAAGTAATGGGAAACAAAAGCAAGGGAAGTTTTTCAAGACTAACTAGAAAATGTTTTAAACATTATTAATATATAAATAGGACATTTTAGAGGATATCAAAAAAGTATTAAGAAAAATATAAATCACAAATACAATATAAGTATATTAATGCAATAATATGCAATCACAGGACATAACTAGACTTAAATACTGGGTTATAGTTCTAAAACAAAGAATAACTTGAATTCTTTAAAAATTTCCATTACATTGTGAATGCACTTAATGCCACTGAATAGTACACTTAAACATGGTTAAAATGGTAAATATTATGTTATATATATATTTTACCACAATAAAAATATCTACAAGGTCATCTAGAACATATGTGATAAAATTAGAAGCATAAATAACCATAAAGGGAAAGGAAGAACACTAGTTTTTAATAAATACCTGAAATATCCGAAGCACTATATGCTCATTTTACATCTTTTTTTTAATCTGAGAGGACTGTACTGAAACATATCTTATTTAATCCTCTTTCAATACACATTTATAAAGAAGATAATAATATACCCATTTTACAAATAAGGAAGTGAGGCTCAGAAAGACTGAGCAACTTAGTCACAGTTACTGACAAAGCCATGACCTGAAGTCAGCTCCATCTGGTTCCAAAGCAACAGAATTAGTTTTGCAAGAGGGAAGTGCTTCTACCTTCTCACACTCATATCTCTAGAGAAAGGCAGAAATATACAGATATATAAGAACAGAAAATATATGCTTTCAAAATAAAGAGAATCGTCAGCAACTTATCTATTAGATATCTGAGAAATAACAACTAATACCTTTCACAACACAGGGTCTGAGTCTCTGTTGAAGAGAGTGATATTTTTCTCTTAAAGGAACCCTTATGTCCTCAGGATTGGGAAATGCTTTCACCAAAATTTCTGCTACCTTCAGAAAAAATTTTTAAAGTTTTATGAGTAACATCATTCTGGTTTTTTTTTTTCCTTTTCACTCCTCAAACATTTCATTTTAACTCAAAACATAAATGCATATTTGCTGCTAGTCTTTTAATGTCAGGCCAAAGCCTTTCTTTGAGCATGAGTCTGTGGATGGGAGTTCAGCATCAACTTTCTTCTTTTTTTTAATTTGAAAATATTTAACGTACAAATAAAAATTGTGTATATTCAGGGTACACAATATGATTTGATACACACATACACTGTGTGCTCATAACCACAGTTAACACATCCATCACCACACACAGTCACCATTTTGTGTGTGTGTGTGTGTGTGTGTGCACGTGTTTGGTGAAGACACTTAAAATCTCCTCTCTTATCAAATTTCAGGTAATCAATACAACATTACTAACTATAGCCACCATGCTGTACATTAGATCCCCAGGACTTATTCATCTTATAACTGAAAGTTCGTACCCTTTTACCAATATCTCCCCATTTCCATCATACTCATTGACCCCAGACAACCACCATTCTACTCTCTGCTTCTGTGAGTTCAACTTCTTTAGATTCCACACAAAAGTGAGATCATACAGTATATCTTTCTAAACCTGGAGGATATTAATTCTAGTGAATTATAAGCCAGACACAGAAAGGCAACATCATTCTTAATTAAAATAAAAATCCTGTAAAGTCTCTGATTCTGATTTAGTTTATTTTCTACTACAATCACATTACCTTTCTGATTGGTGGCAGTTCTCCAATAAGGCTCAAAATTATATCCTGAATAAGTTCTTCAATATTAAAAAACCGACAAAAAGGTAGCATTCGATAAGCCCATTCCACCGCACTGAGACAGTGCTCAACCATACAAGAATCAAACTCCACTTCGAAGTCCTAAATGGATATTGAAAAAATTCATTTCCTTTTCAGTTTAGATGGATAGACCAGAATGAGTTTGCTACAAACAGTAAAATCTTCTATTAAGCAATAACTTTTCAAGTAACATTTGTTCATTTTTCTTATTCTTCTGTTGGTAAATACCTTTTCTCCCCTCACATTTTCTCTTGCTTTCTGATATTGCCTGCAACTATGGGATAACTTATCACGGATATGCAGCATCCAACACAAAGCACAAAGTTCTCTGAAGCAACCTAAAGCAGGAATACAAATATTAAAGAAAACTATATAAGTATGTACATTAATATTATAACAACTCCACTTTTGCTGGGTTTTTTTTTTTCAAAATAAATATTTTGTTTTGTTGATTATAAAAGAAACACATGCTCATTATAAACTCCTTGTAAAAGTCATGGATATCCTTCCAGAATTTTTAAGCATATTATTCTAGAATATTTCATGTATATTAGCTGCATGAAAATATTGAAAACATATTTATAGAGTAAATAACTTACTCTATTTACTATTAGTTTACTTGCTTTACAACTTCATAGCATACTGTGGATATTTTTCAAAGCCATTACTCATAGTTCTTTATTGTATAGTTGATTTGTTTGGAAAATCACTTATTGACATGCATTTGTTTAAAATTTAATACTAAAAACATAATTCCCAATATGAAAAAAGTTTTTATTAAAAGCAATGCAAATACACAAAGATATATAAAATAATACTATGTGTGCTGCTTTACAACTGGCTTTTTTTCATCTAATATATCTTGAAAATCTTTTCATGATGGTGTAATGTAAACATTCTAAGCCTTTTTATTGCCAATACAGAATTCTGTTGTATGGAGCATCAAGATTTAATTATACACAATGTAAGGATTCACAATCCAGTTAGCAAACCAAGTTTTCACTGCTCTGCTCATCTTAATTTCCTTTATTATAACTAAAGTATGACCAATTAAGTAAGCCCATCTTCTCTACTCTACTGTTCTGTGGTTAATAGGATCTTTTCCTATGGAGGGAGAAAGGTAATCCCCTAAAATTTAACATTCATTCATTTAAGCCTTAATTTTTAATTTTTTAAATTAAGTCTTATTTTTACAGCAAACTGACTTTTGTATTAGTGATATTTTCATTTTCTTTAGAAGCTACTTAATTTATGTTTTTAAATATTACAAAGCATTATAGAAACTGACATTATAGAAACTGAGCAGAAAGATCTTCTACAAATCCTATCTACCTACCCCAAAGTCAAGGGATGGGGAGATGGCGAGTACATGGCCCCAAGGGAACTATCAGGATCCCCTAAGGGCATTTTCACACCACACCCCATCCCACACACCAGATTCTTATAGGTCCTAGCAAGGGAGCATGGCCCAATCTTTTGAGATAAGCACCACTACTGATGGATGTGTTTCGCAGCTTTGTATTTCACAGACACGCTGAACCAGAACTAAGGCCAAGCATCAGCAAGAGAGTGCAGCAACATATTAAGCAGCTACTCATCAAAAATCCCTAGATACATCTGTGTTTTTCAAACTGTGGATTACAATCTATTACTAATTATTAGGCTGTAAAATAAGTCACTGCATCCCAAACATTTTTTAAAAATAGAAAAGAAAATATCAAAAGTACATTGCACATAGTAAGAGTATGGATAGTTCATTACATTTCCATATCAGTTTCGTATGACTGTGTGTATACACTGTCTTGATGTAAAATCTGTATCTTCTTGTAAATCCTGTCAAAAAGTTTGAATACAAAAAAGATGCAATCGACTGAAACCAGAATGAAAGAGACTCTATGGACAAATGATCTGGTTTCCTCAACAAATAAATGGCATGAAAATAAATGGGAGGGACACTTTTATAGATTAAGAGAGACTTACACACCAACCAAAATGTAATATGAGCAGGACCTTGTTTGGGTCTAGATTTGAAAAAAACAACTGTGAAAAAGACATTTCTGTGATAATCAAGTAAATGTAAATACAGAATAGATAATATAATATAATAAAGAATTTCTATTAACTTTGTCAGCCATGATAATAGAATCATGGTTTAAAAAATTCCTTATCTGTTAACTACATATACCGAAGTATTTATGGGAGAAATCATATGATGTCCCAGATTTGCTTTCATGTGTTTACAGTCATTACAGATGGGTGATAGCTACTTGAGAGCTCATTATATTATCTCTACTTTTGTTTAAATTTTCTACAATAAAAAGCTTCCAAAAAGTCCGAAAGCCATTATTTTAGATAAACTAGGAAAGGTACTTTTTAATCTAGCCAAATCATGACTCAACAAAAGACCGAATCAAGCAAAAGAATAATTAAATAGTGGATCTTTTTTAGGGTCAAACTAAAATATTATAAATAAATGTTCAAATCTTTATTTAAATCACTTCAAAGGACTATATTCTATTATGGACAAAAATCTTTTAACTGAGATTGTTGTGAATTTAACTCATTGCTTATAGATCCAGATTTTTAAGAAATGAAATAAGATTGCACATACATTTCCAGGTAACATCTGCCTGGTCCTTTTTTTTTGCTCAGGCGAATGAAAAGTCTATGAAACCAAGCTCATGACAGCCAAGAGAAACAATCAAAAAGGATTTTAATGCCATTACAATTGGAAAAACAGTCTGAACCCCAGGACATTACCATGAGTACTAAGAGTGAATTAAAAAGGAACATTTTAATCAAAATCTGGAGATATGGCCGGCTTAATATAAATGAAATTGATAAGAATTAAGTATTAAGAAGAGTAGAATGATATCTAAAGTTTTACAGGTACGTCTTTTTAAACTTGTTATGCAGATAACTAGACACAGACCACAAACAGGAAATTAATTTATAAGAGGAAATACAAAGTAAAATAAATGTTCAATATAACTAATCAAAATAGACATACTATAAAACTATCATTTTTTCACCCATTAATCTGAAGGAATTACAAAATCTGACATATTATTTCGGAAGATATAAAATAGGCATATTCATTAATCCAGCAATTCCACTTCCAAGTATCTCTCCTAAAGAAATATTTCAAAATATAAAAAAGAAATTGATGTGCCAGAGGCAACTTAATATATAACAACTGAAGTAAATTATAATATGTACGTTAATAAAAGTCACTAAAATTAATAGACATGAAAGTTTGTAAAATGGAAAAAAGCTTAGGAGGGGGAATTTTAAGTTAGGAAAGCAGGAAAGAAAATTGGTAAGTCAATACTGAAAGGTTCAAAGCCTCTCCACTTAACAATGGTTGGCAGCATATCCTAAGTGCAAGAAAATGACAACAGAAAGGCATTCTTAAGTGCTAAAATTCCAAATGTAAATAATGAAGTAATGACAACGTCATAATTGTCACTATTTGTTTTATATAATAAATTCCTATTTGTTTTATATAATAAATTCCTACACACATTTAATAAATGTATATACATGGTGTTAAAATTCAGTATTTACTTGTATACAGCAAGTAAAATATAATGGAACATACTATACTTTAAAGAGTCGATAGTTTACAAACTTTTCCCAATCAAATGAAAAACATATCATTATTCACATTTAAGCCTAATTTCCACACAAGCAGTTCATTTTGGACAAACCTATTGCTCTAATGAAAACTTCATCAAGCTTGTGGTCTCCAGTTGGTCCAGGTCTAAAGAATGCTACACCTCCTTTACAGTAATTAAGTAATGACTGAGGGAAAGGACTCAATGAAGGAAGGGATGCTTTCATTCGAATCTGAAAGTAAAGAATGATGCAATCAATAAGTTAATTATTAGTGCTGTAAATCATTTTTTAAGGAAACTATAAAAGAACAAGGCAAGTAAGATGCAGAACAAAAACACAGCATGGTTCCTCTACTATGTAAAATACCCCTGAAATCAGCTGTACTTTCAGAAACTTAGCTCACAAATTTAATTCAAGAAGTTCACTAGATTATACCTTAAAAGAGAAAACTAAATCATTTATACTCTCTTGTCACTCAGTTTTGCCTATATAAAAAGAACTTAATGCTGGCTTTGTCCCTGGCTTTCCTCACAGGCATAATAAAGAAATTTAACTATCTAAATCCCATCCAAAATAAAACTATGTGCACTACTTAAAAACAAATAAAGAAAACTTATGTCTACATAAATTTTTAAAAACAAATCTACATATGACAGAAAGTCACTATTTGGCAACCCCTAATAAAATAATGACTCTATGCAAGGATCATCAATAAATGCTAAATTAGGTGAAGGGTTATTTGGGTACTTGATATATGGTGTGACACAACCCCCCCAAAAAAAGTGAAATAAAAAAAAAGTAAAATAAACAGACACATGTGCCAGGTGATATGGTGCAACAGTACACAGCACTTATGAAGGATCCATTTCTAAGAAAATTTGAACCTGAATCTAATCAAATCTTCTCTCCACCTCGATGAATGTAAATTAATTACCAGTTTAGAGGAAATGAAAGGAAAGAGGAGTAAGTTAAATAACACGAAATGAGGAAACAATCAGACAAATCTAGAACATGGTACAGGACAAACTACCCAGTTTCTCTAACAAATCAAGAATTTTTTTAAAAAAGGAGGAGAGGCCATTACAGATAAAAGAAAAGGAATATAAGAGACATAAACCTGGAAGGATTACCAGCTGACTTGTAATCTATTTTGTCCCTCTACTAGTCACTTTCAGAAAGACATGAGCTCATCAAATCCCCTTGTAAGCCTGCTGATGACAGACTTTCTGTCAAATATCTTAATGACATTTACTAGCCAGATGGTACTAAGAGGTAGAGAAGTAAAAACAGCAAAGATACAGGAGACCTTAGCCACATGGAACTGAATTCTGCCAACAACCTGAACAAGCCTGGAAATGTATTTTTCCCCTACAACCTCCAGAAAGGAAAGCAGCCCTTCTGCTACTGTGACTGGCCTCAAGAGACTGTACGCAGAGACCCAGCTCAGCCACACTGTGCCTAGACATCTGATGTGCCAAAACTTGAGATAATAAAGTGGTATTGTTGTAAGCTGCTAAATTTGTGATAAGTTTTTAGTGTAGAAATAGAAAACTAAAACAACACAGAATCTTTATTTCAGCACCATTTTTTTATTGAGATATAATTCAAATACCACAAAATTAACCTTTTAAAAGTGTACAATTCAGGGCTGGCCAGGTAGCTCAGCTGGTTAGAATGCAGTATTATAACACCAAGGTCCAGAGTTTGAACCCCTATACTGGCCAGCCACCAAAAAAAATTAAAAGTGTACAATTCAGTGGTTCTTAGTATATTCACAAAGTTAGGCAACTGTCATCACTATCTAATTCCAGAACATTTTCATCACCCCCAAAAGAAAACTATTAGCAGTCACTTCCCATTTACCCCCTCTCCCTAGCCCCTGGCAAGCACTAATCTACTTTCTGTCTCCATTGTGATGACAAGATACAGAACAAGTAACAGTTTTATTTTATTTATTTATTTTTTTAAAAAGATGACCGGTAAGGGGATCTTTACCCTTGACTTGGTGTTGTCAGCACCACACTCAGCCAGTGAGTGAACCGGCCATCCCTATATGGGATCCGAACCCGGGGCCTTGGTGTTATCAGCACCGCACTCTCCCGAGTGAGCCACGGGCCGGCCCCACAAGTAACAGTTTTAACTTACAATTTTATGGTAGCTGCATGCAAATTTCACAAACTTTCTCTCTAAAAATGTTAATTTTCAACTGTCTTGAAGTCTCTCTAAAGGTTTCTACTAAAAAAAGTTGTAGATTCTTGTTTAAAATTTAATCTTAATCAAGCTGAATTAAAGATATTTGGAGGTGATAAAATTTATTTCCACATTTCAGAGACAGCAGACCTACAAAGGATTTGCAGCTGGATAAGGAGACACACCAGATATCTCATCCAGCTGGAGATCAGGTAAGAATGCAGCTACAGCTCAGCTGAAGTCAGTATACAAGGAGATGTCAGCCTCATAATCATACTGAATTGCATATCTCAGAAGATAGCAAGGGGACCCTAATTAGTGGAGACTACTGAAAGGAAATAGCCAAGAACTAACTCTAACTTACCATGCTTTGAACCCACAGATGCCCCGATGGAACATAAACACCTCAGGGAGAAGTGGGGGAAATCCCTGAACTGAGTTTAAATCATCAGTCATTGTGGGGGGGAAAAAAGTAACTGTAATTCCTTGGAATTAACCGACTGGACTGCTCTATCTGTTGCCAGACAGGAAGGGACTAAGCTAGAGATCCAGTTCAGAGTCCTTACCTTTCAGGGAAAAGAACCTGGTCAGTCTAGGTTTCTTATTGTAAATAAACTTGAAACTTGTAGATTTAGAGGGTAGGACTTCATGGAGAAATGTCAGAATCATAAATGTTAGTATATTTAAGTTGTTTAACACAGCACATAAATGACTAAGACATTCCCATACCTTTTGCATGACTTTTCTCGCCCATCTCAGCTGCAAGATGTACCACTGTGCTACAGGAAAAGAACACCGAGCTGCCCGGAAGAGCAAGAGAATACGCTGAAGGATTCCAGACACCTTTTGACGAATATCTTTTTCAGCCTTCAAAAGAAGATCATCACCATCTTCCTGAGGAAAATAAATCAATTTTAGTTGCTAATAAGGACATTTAAAATGCTGAAGTGAAATAAAGACAGGCTAATGATATTCAGTGCTTCTCAAACTAGAGATTTATAAAAGAAATTCTGAGGCACAGTCTCTGAGATTTCAACTATAGCTATTCCTAGTGTCAAAGACATATTTCTCTCCCCTCAAACAATGCAAAGGGCTAAGTTGACCCTACTTCCAACTCCTCCCCTAGAACAGTTAAAGCCCACCACTCCTGATCTCCACTGGTGGGATGTTACAGACAGCTCCTTCTAAGGAGAATGCCTTTTCCCTTCCTTTGCTTGGAAAAATCCTACTTATATTTCAGTGTCATCTTCTCAGTGAAGCCCTCCCTCTCTGTGCTATGACAGCACTTTGCTCACACTTCCATTATGGCTTTTAACACTTTATTCTGTACTGATTTACATATCTGTTTCCCAATGTACTGAGAGCTCCCAAGAGCAAGGGCCTTATCATTCAACTTTGTATTATCATAGTGCACAGAATAACATCCAACATGTGTTAGAACCCAGTAAATGTTTGAGTAAATGCTATTCGAACTAGTAGCAAAAGAGTACCTTCCCAGATAGTGAGACAAAGTGAGTACTGTAAACATTTGCTTTCCCCAACATCCTTCTGCCCTGCCCACTTCTTAACAGTCCTCAATTTTTATTTGTGCATTTGCCCCCCCCCTTCTACACAGCCCATGATTCAGGGCAAGCTGATCCCACATCCCCAGCTTCCAGGGAAGGCCCTAAGCAGTACCTTGCATTAGCCCTAGGCAAAGTGGCTGATGAAAGGAACGGCAGGTGACTTAAGCCAGTCTAGTAAGAGTGAATCTCAGGACTCTTGTTTAGAATGTTGGGACAGAAATCATTTTGCTGCTTTTCTTTCTCCCCTTCTCTCTCCCTGTAGACATGGGAAAGACCTCCTTAGAAGCTGCTGGCAGCCACCCTGCACCCACAAAGAGAACTAACCTTCAGATGAAGATAACACCTTAGAAAATGAACTAAAGAGAAAGAAAGAGCCCACGTCTTCGGTAAATAACTGCATCAGAAGCCTGACCTACCGCTGAGCTTCTCAATGATGTGAGCCAATAAATGCCTTTATTGTTTAAACCATTTTAACCAAGTTTTTTATTACTTGTAACACAAGGGGTCCTAACTGATATACAGTGACATTTAGGAGAAATCCTACCACTGAGGACTATTTTAATAAAAAATAATAAAATGAAGCACTACTAAAAATAGTAACCACTCAAACTAATATCAGCATAGAATACCCAAAAATACCTAAATGCTATTTCTAATTTCTAAGCCAATATACTGAAGACTTAGAAGTGAGAGGAAAGATAAATTATTGAGAAATGCCATGGACTATTTATTCCTTCCATTTATAATATATTACATTTGTAATATCAACATGTGAAATACTTTTAACCTGTTGAAACATAACTCTAAAAAAAAAAAAAGAAACATAACTCTAAATATAACAAATGGGAGGTAAAAACTAGATAGAGAGAAGAGTTACTAATACTGAAACAAAGTATTAAAGAATCACTTCAAAGCATTAACTAAATATTTTAAAAATCTAAATGTAAATAATTTACAATAACACTTTTCAATCTTAAAACCAGCTAATGGTAATGTTATGATTTTTAATAAGAACAGAGGAAAAGTTGCTGAGAGGAATATAGTATTTCTACTTATAAGATGGGACTATCAATTGACTAGTGCAAAAATATGACTTTTCAAGTCAAAGTAAAATCAAAGTACGTCTTTCAACAAAAGCAAAGACACTGAGATGAATAAAAGACTGAAATAATGTATGGCTTCTAATTCTGACATTCATTATTTGATTACCCTAAACAAACGCCTTTTTAAAAAAAATCTGGATATTGAGAAAGACCTAATTTTGCCATATTATTACAATATTTTTAATATTATTTTTATATTTTAATAATATAATATAATTATATTTTTATAATATTTTATAATATTTTAATATTATTTTTGATTTATTGAATGCTTACTATGTATCCCAGGTCCTGAGCTAGAAGCTTTTACAGGATATCTCATTTACTCCTCAGAATAAATACTATGAGAGATACTATTATCATTTGCATTTTATAGGTAAAGAAGCTTAAACAGCAGTGTAGTATGTAACCTAAGATTATGTAATTAGTAAACAGCAAAGCTGGGATCTGGAAATCTGTCTCCAGAGTTTGCATTTTTAACTTGATTATTATCAAATTGTTTAAAAAAACTGGACAAAACCAACTTCAAATTAATTAAAAGAACAATGCTTACTTCACTAAGAATAGCTGGCTGGGGACAATATAATGGAGGAGCTGGAAGATACAAGCCTACCGGAACCAAGCCCCACAGTCTCTTACTGAAGTCCTTGGCAGAGTCTATCAGAAGCTGAAATGTCTCTGAAAGAATATCTGCATCAGCCATAACTGCTGCTTTCAGTACTTCTTGCACTGAACCAAATAGCAGATTTGCATCTTCCTCTTCAATGGGATCTATCAAATATAAAATTTGGCAAAATGGTTAAAATTTGTATTAAACTTCTTATACTATTTTGTAGAATAAAATTTCAAATCTAAAAAAATTGTCAAGAATGAACATATTGGTTGACGTGCAAATTGTCCCAACTTACACAAATTTACAAACTATCCCGTTACTTTAAGATTGCAGGCAATCAGAATATGAGACTTTTTTCCAGAATTATATGAGATATTGTAGTAACAACTATAAAATTAAAATATTCTTAGAACACAGACCTGAGTCAAAACATAATAATTAATAATTTAACATATATTAATGGGGAAAAGAATGTCAAGACACCATAATAATATACATTATATGAAGGCACTGGGAAAGTAATTTTTTTCCTTTTATTAGTAGTCCATGATAGTACTTTTACAATAATAAAAGTTAATAAAAAATGACCTCTGAAGTTAAGAAAACAGAAAAATACAAAATTGTACATGTAGTATGGCTTCAACTATGTAAATATCTGTATATAGGTGGACACGTCCCAGAAGGCAAAATGCAAAAAGCAGGTGGCAGAACTGGAGACTTAGGGTTTTTTCTATTATGAAATATTTTAAGCATACTGTAAAGTTCATGTACTAGCTTCTCATCCTGTCTGATATTAACATTTTTGCTATTTTTAATTTAGATTTTTAAAAATATTACAAATATAACTGAAGTTTCTTGAGTACCAATCACATTCCATTTCCTCTCTCCCCCAGAGGTAGCTGCTATCCAGAATTTGGTGCAGATATACTGGAATTCCTATTAGACACATTGTGAAGGTTAATTCTAGATGTCAACTTGGTTAGATGAAGGAATGCTGAGAAACCTGGTAAAGCAATCTTTTCAGGTGTGTCCATGAGGGTGTTTCCGGCAGAGATTAGTATGAGAATCTGAGTTGCCTGCGTGGGAAAGACCCACCCTCAGTGTGGGTGGGAACCATCCAATCTGCTGGGGGTCTGGAGAGAACAAAAGACACAGGAAAGAGGTGAAGCTCTCTCTCTTGATCTGCTGGAGCTGGGATACACTCTTCTCTCCTGTCCGTGGACATCAGAGCTTGAGAGTCTTCAGCTTTTGGGTTCCAGAACTTACACCAAGGACACCATCAGCTTCCCTGGTTTTGAGGCCTTTGGACTCGGACTGAGCCACGCTACAGGCATCTGGTTTATAGACGGCCTATTGTGGGACTTTTCTTCATAGCCATGTGAGCTAATTCCAATAAATCCCTCTCATATAATTATAACATATTCTATTGATTCTGTCTCTCTAGAGAACCCTGAGTAATACACACGTTGTATCTTTCCATTCCATATGCTACAAAGCTTCTCATTCGTATTTTTCAACTCTTTACATTTCTCTATGTATTTCGTATATATTTATCATATATATATATATATATATATATATATATATA